CGGGCAGCTACCTAGGCAAGGATGCTAGTCCAGTGCGTTAGGGCAGTGAATTACAAGTCCTGTATCTTCATATCTATGAAACCATCGTTGCGTGTCGATATCCCAGGTCCAATATTCGTGGGCCGGATGATCTTCAAAGGCTTCAATGGCTGAGATTGTCCCCCGTGCTGATTCTTCAGGCTGAAGATGACTTAAGCTTGGGCTCGGCGCACATACAGTTTCGTGGGCTTGCCCCTGGGATAGGATGTGTTGTGGGAAAGAGGTGCTCCTAGAGGCCAGCTCTTCTTTGGCGCTGTTGTGATGAAGTTTTGGGCATCGACCTAATTGCAACTGGACCCGCTCGCAATGCTCAATAGGGTCGTGCCTCTGTGAATCGATTCCCACAGGAGACACATCTTCACCAATCGAGGATGGAGGCGTATCACAGTGGTGGCGTTTGCTGCTGTTCCACCTGCTGCTCGTTGAAGAGGTGATGCTCTGATCGGATCTTCGGCTTCTGGGTTTTATTTCAGATGACTTTAATAGCTCGGCCCATGCAGATCGAGGTCGGCTCAACTTCCGCGACGCTTGATAGCTCTGGGTTTTGGGGGCACCAACAGTTCTGCGGGAGGCAAGATGGGTCTTTTGGCTTATTGCCTCAGATATGGGTCGAAGAACGCACAAGGAATGTAGGCTTTCTGGCAGATGTCAGGTCCAAAGAGGTCAGTACTTGGTATCTTGTGATCTTACCTGATTCCATTGTAGCAGGGCATATCCCACCTTGAAACCCGATCCTGTACACTGAGTGAAAGACTTCGATCTGAATAGGCGGTAGGCTTTATATGCAGATACGATGTCGGTTAATCTTCTGCCTCGACAACTTTCAGTAGATGTTGACAATGATAACACGGGCCTTGTCCCTTATTTGAATTCTCAAAACCTCGAGAAAGCATTCCTCATAGTGCCCTCACGTTGTTACCACGTCAGAGCCAATCCCCATTTGGTGCCATTTCTTTCACTTTCTAGTCTTATTGTCCTTTTTTCCCCCTTTTTTAAATTAAAGTGAGGCTGTCAAGACGAGCTAGGCACTAAAAAGGCGCACCGCGTGCCGCAGTAAGAGAGCCGCAGTTTTCATCAGGATTAACTCGACGCAATCGGCGGTTCATACCCAATTTCCAATGCTGACGGCTTTAGGGTCTCCTAATTGTAATTGTCAATTGAGAGGTTGTTAGGCTTCGCCAGTGCGTATGAAGCAAGTCCCAAAATTCCAATTGCGATTGTCGAAGAGGATGTAACCCAATTGTACTTGCAGTGGTACTCCCAAGGATTTGACAGGGTATGGTAAGCTGACGAGTCTTCCAAGAATGAGTTGGGCAGAGCCTGCTTGAAAAGCGCCCTTTTGAACATGGAGGTTTGACAGCACATAGATTTAGACCGAAAACAAGAGAGTGTGGGTGGAGACGATGCGTATGCCGGTCGAACTGAGCAATTAGACGTGAATGTGATGAGGGGGAATCCATCTACAGTGTGCCGCCCGATGCAGAGTCCAGCTCCCTTTATGAAGCACTCAACCAGACACCATAAGAATCAAGGCGTTTCCGGCAAGGCTCCCATGGAATTTGGACGCCTTCCTCAGTTCCACTAGGCACCCTCACTGGGTATGTTCACTGACCGAGTCGATCTCACGTAGCTTGCCCCCTTATTCGGCCGTGCTCAGAGCCGGCTCCTCATGAATTAGAACCCGCCCAGCCTTCCGATTCTAGAATCAAATGTGAGCGCTTGGAACTGGCTGTGTTCGAAACACGCTGTTGCTGCTGTGGCTTGGGATATCCGGGAAAGTCGCAGCAGCCCTCCCCAGTCCACGAAGAAAGCCCAATGGCTGAGCGACTCGGTGCGCCGAGACTCATTCAGCCCTCTCTAGCACCAGTAATTACCCATGTAATTGTAAATGCTATGAAATGGTATTGATGTTTTTCCGATTTTGTTCATTTGGAAGTGGGAAAGTCGAGTTGAAGGGGGCTTTGCCTCCTTGCCTTCGATGGCAAACTTGGGTCATCCCCTGTGCCGGGACTAAACCCATTGTTTTATCCAATTCGCATCGTTAAATATAATCAGGGTGCTTGCCATATGCATCTATTTACTAACAGGCTTCGCCCACTTCTAAGCTGCCGCCTTTCACATACCGCCTGTTTGCTCTGCCCCCTTTCCCATTACATCTTCACCACCCCCAGTAACGATACGAGCTTCACTTTCCGCGTCCATCCGAGTGTAATTTCGAATACCTTCCTTCGAGTTGATACCTCAGATCCTGCTCTGCAGGATGAGACTCTGCACTGCCTTCATCTATTCTCTTGATTATTACTACAAAACAAAGTCCCTATGAGTACTTGCAAGAGGGTCATGCGTGGGAACTTTTCGATAGACGGCGCTTATGACCTTACACTTCTCCATAGACGGCGCCCTCTTACCTGGCCTGACTCGTCCAAAAGCTGTACTAGACAAGTTTTCCATACGGCAACCACTACACCAGAAGTTCGCAATCCGAATGTGACAGCGATACGAAAGAGACAGCGCCCACTTGATGGAAGACCCTCTCGGACGCCACACACCAAGCGCCGAAGACCCAAAACTAAAAGCAGCTCAGCTGGGTCTTTAGAACCGACCTTTTCACAAGTTTCAAACCATCCGTTTACAATTGGCCACAAAACCACCCCGTTCCCGACGGCACGCACCCAGCATCATGGACAGAGTTCAATTTGGCGCGGCATCCCTCTCAACGGACTGGCTGGAAGTGTTGACAACCCCGAACTGCCAGTGGAAATCAGCTTTCGAGAACCCCTTTCTGCTGGAAACGTCTGTCTTGCCGCCGCATACGATTCCTTTTGTCCAGAGACTCTTGTGCCGCTCTCGGTTGTTAACAAGATGTCCCTGGAACTTATCCCATGTAAGCCGGGGGGCTTTGATTTATGGACCACCAGCGGCATAACTCCGGCACTGGGATTCATCAGAGTTTGTGTACGAATACCATGGTTGCAAGCTATTCTGGGTGACTGCTGCTTCGCTGTTATACCTGATGGTCTGGCGGGAATGAGGGGTATTGAAATACTCATCGGGAGAAAGATTTTGACGAGGCTTGTAGAAGACTGCGGAATGTCCAAGGATCAATGTATGAAGATCGACCGCCATACTGAGAATGCGAGAGGACAAGCAGCATATTCGGCGATCCCGTTCTCGTTGTTCAGCGAATCTAGTGAGTGGTTTCTGAAACACCCACACTTAACTGAAGACTGACAGTAGCAGATGTTCTTCCTACAGCAGCAAGTGCAACCTTCCAACCCAGAAAGCCGTCGGACCTTCTTCAGCCTTCCGATTATCAGCGAACCCACTCTGTTGCAAGCAACGAGCCGAGCTACATCACATCATACTTCTCCTCGATGGGTACCGTGCCACCACATTCTACCCCAGAAAGTTCAGTCCATCTTGAGCGAGCCCGGGCCATTGATAACGGCGATAAACAGGGCTATCATGGCTCTGGTCTATCTCAGAGCGGGATGGCCAAGACTATCTACAGCGCTACCTCGGAACTAGATATTAGAGACCTCACTGCGCAGTTACCGTACACAGATGCCTCGAATCGAGTTGATGCCACTAGTTCTTCTACAGCTCTTGACTTTCACTCAAGTACTTTCGCTCTTCCGATGCAATATGGCCATATTGGAAACACTGAGCATATGCCTTCGAGTTTGAACCAAATGCTCTCGACAACTGCAAGGTCTGAAAACCAGGTGTCTTCTCCACCTCAGGACTTTTTCAACATTCCAGACTGGACATCAGACTCGACGAGGGCCCTCTTCCAGTACAATTTTCGGCCTCCGGCCGATTCATCCGTTAATTTCTTACCGCAAATTCGGGTACATTCCCCTTGGGATAAATACGAACCCTCGCCTTCCATGACTCGTTACGACACGGGCGAAAATATCGAACCCGCGCTCTAGCGGCGAGTCAATACGTTACACTGTTTGACAGTGATGATTTCATGAGACTCTGGGTCTAGCGCAAACAGAAATACTGCGCATCTGCCTAGCATCCTCTTTTGGTTGTTAGAGTGGCAGAACAATGGTAGAAAGGTCCGGCCAGATGTACTTGACGAGAACAAGACTTGAAAAGATGCCAACAGCAAGGAGAACAGAAATATCGATTCGATAGTGTATCTTTTTCTTTGCAATCTCAAGGGAGGCCTAAGTGCTGAGGTTTCATCAAAGTCATGGGATCACAACAGCACCCAGCATCCTATATTGGATAAAAGGGCTGCGCTAGTTTGTTGGTTGGCGTTGTGTTTTCTTGTTTGACCATGGAGCCAACCCACCTGCGACTGAGCTTACTGGGAGGTGGAGTAAATGTTAATCTTTGTTTTCGGCACATTGTGTCTGTCGTCTTTCGACATCTTCAACATGGTGCCTTGGGAAACCAGTTCTTTTCAACAAAGATCTAAGTAGATGTCCACCGGGCAGACCGCGGATTGAGAGCGTACGATGCTCAGCGCTTACACCCACCAACAAATTGCAAAATTCTTTCCTATTTACAGTACCGTTCCTTGGCTACGCACCTCAGGGAAATACCTGAATATACTGTTCTTATTCTCACCCTATGAATTGTTTAAAATTTGCAGAATTCACAGAGATCGAGAGCAATGACAGTTACAGAAGAAGACAAACGGAACAAAAAGGGCGCCAGAGGCAAGAGACTATACAAGCAAGAGACCTCTACTAAAACAGGAGGCATTACAGAAAGGAGGCAAATGGGCTCTTTCTCATTCAACTGCATGATGCATACACAGCATCGGTATTGCATCTTTACGCAACCCGAAACACACATAGTTGCTCAGAAGGTGATCAATTTCACTATTGGATATGCGCCCAGGCCTGTAAGTCCGAATGATAACCCTGAACCCAGAACTTTTCCCACGGCTTCTTACTCCAAGATGCCACGAGGCTTTCTATTGTCACACTCTCTCCCCAAGTTTAAACCTTGTAGAAGCAGAAAGCAGTGTAAAAGCTTGCCGCCTCCAACTCCTCTGGCGAGACCAGAAGACGTCCACCACCGCGCTCCCGGACACCCATCCTCTCACTCAGAGGACCCAGCGTCTCATCGTCCTTCTCCGACTCCCAAATCTCCATGAATGTCTTGTGGTATTGAAGCTCGAGGTTGTAATCTTCAGCCAGGGCTCTGAGGACTTCCCATGGCACAACGTACTCGGGTACCTCCTCCACGGCTTCATCAAGGAAAAAGTTGTACTTCCAGCCGAACGCGGGCCTGAAGACGCCATCAGCTGGGGTCTTGCCCGGGAATCGGACTCGGTAGATAGAGTTGCCCCACTCCGCCGACTGCTCTGCTTCGCCATCCTCCAATTCTCCCTCTTCTGCCTCCTGAGGCGGCTCCTCGGCGGCCTTCTTTTTTCTCTCTTCCTGTTGCTCGTTAAACTTTCGGACGTGCTCGCCGAGAACGTCGGAGTTGGGGATGCATCCAATCAGGCGACCTCCCTTCTTCAACGAACCGGCGACGTTGCGCAGCATAGTGCGGGCCTTCTGTTCTGTCTCGAACGCGTAATGCATGCAGAACATCATGCTCACGACGTCAAATCCTCGTCGGCTAAGGGGGCTGGTGTCAAATCCGACTTGTCTGATAATTTCAATGTCCTCAATGTTTTCGCCATAGCAGTCCTTGACATGGAACCGTGCCTCAAAAAGGCGTGGAGGTGGGCGTCTGTATCCACCTCTGCCGCCCCTGCCACCCCCTCCGCGACTGCCCATCTGGCGATAGCGTTCCCGAGCCTGATCAATACTGATATCAGCGGGATCCAGACCGACGTAAAGCTCTACTGGTTGCGGCGCTTGCTGCCACTTGCCCAGATCACCTCCTTTTCCACAGCCGATGTCGAGTACGAGTAGCTCCTTCCCAGTCGAAAGTCCTTGCTCTCGAGAGCCGGGGGTATGGTCCTCATCTGGCGAGAACTTCTGGATGATGCAACTCTTAACCCAGTTGTTGAAGGCGCGAAGTCCCTTGATCTTGCTGTCGGTTCGTCTCCAGTCTCTGCCTCGTTCTGGTACACTGTTGTAATGTTGCGTGACGACGTCGTTATTGGCGGTGCTACGTTGGCGCTCCGCAGCAGCCTGAGCTGCAGCTTCCAGTTCCCTCTCTCGCTCCAGTGCTCGTTGACGGATTGCCTCTCGTTCGGCTTCGGAGATGCGAGCTCGGGCACCGGGCCTCTTCAGCTTGCGAGGTTGCTCAGAGGGAGAGACGGCTCGTCGCTTCGCGGGCTGGAGTTCCTTTGCATTGTAGGGCTGCGGCAACTCGTCGGTACCGCCGTCTTCGCGCTTTTCACCTCGGCGTGAGGAGGAGTTGCCATTCCTGGATGGTGATTGCGATCTCTTGCGCTTCTTCGCGTCGTAGGATTGAGATTGTCGCTCGTAAGAGTCGTCGTCGTCGTCATTGTAGCCCGCCATTGTTTCAGAACTTCTAGACAAGGGCGGCGTGATAAGGTCGAGAATGAATTGTATGATCTTGAATAAGGACCTGGAATTGTTTATCTGGTCGAAAACGTCCTGCCGTCTCACAGGGTTGAGAATGGACGGTCACTAAGGAAGGAAGAAGCTGCTCAGCGCCGCAAGTACTGGGGTCCTGCTGTGGATGGTACGGACCCACTTGTAGCAATGTTAAAGAAACGGCGAGGGTGCTTTTATCAAAAAGGGTAGAATACGTCGCGTTGCAGTCTGAACAACTGGAAGGCATACTTGAGAGATGAAATATCAGTTATTTGAATAATGAGCTTACTTCCAAGAGAAAGAACAACTCCTGGACTTTGAAGACCAACAACGGGCGAGCTGGTACGGTAATGCTAGGCAGGTCCGGTACGTGTCGCACTGCAGCCTTGCCAGCTTGACTAAGCTCACCCCCGCCAGCGGACCAATCACGCAAGACTGTGACTGGCCGCTTGCGGGTTGCAGGGGGGCTTTCTCAAGCTCCAGCTCCAAACACCTCCAAACAACGACATCACTCTTGTCCACCCAGTAAACCCATCCCGCAACCTCCATTTCTTCCCTCGCGTACCATAATCCAGTACACTCTCTTCCAGGCGCCCCCGAACACTCAACCGCAAAGATGGGCTCAGAACCCCAGTACGCAAAGTACCCTCTCCTCCCGCTCGCTCAGCATGTCTTCGCCCTCACAAACGCCTACGCCTCCCGGCCATCTCAACAAGCCGCTGCGAAAGCCCTTAACGATGCCATCACCGAGCACAAGATGGCGCCGCTCTACCGCTACCTCGCACACCCGCTCGAGGGCATCCTGAACCAAGTCGGCGAGGGTGGCAGCCAAACACCCGGCAAGCCGCTGAGTCGGAAGTCGAGTTTGGCAGGCATGATCGCCACCAAGAGCACGCCGACCACTGTTAACTTGCCTTGGGACGAGGCTCGGTATCAGGAGCTTAAGGCCGACAACGATAGAGAGTTGGAGGAGTTCCAGAAGGAGGAGGATGAGGCCGTCGAGAAGGCCGGTGACACGGAGATCCAGGCTGCGCGGGGCAAGCGGGCAGAGTTCTGGGCCAGAGTTGGTGACAAGGTGCGTCTGTGAAGGCTGATTGCGAATCCGATTGGGAATACTGACGTTAGATCTAGGACCGGGCGATCGCTGCATACGAAGACGTTTTCGAGAAGACCGGTATTCTGGGTACCAAGATCGACTTGGTTCTCGCAATAATCCGCATGGGTCTGTTCTACGGCGACAAGCTCCTTGTGAAGAAGCACGTTGAGCGCGCAAAGACTCTGGTTGAGTCTGGTGGTGACTGGGATCGTCGCAACCGCCTCAAGGCCTACGAGGGCATTTACCTTTTGACCGTCCGGTCGTACAATCTGGCAGCCCCGCTGCTCCTGGACAGCTTGTCCACCTTCACCAGCTACGAGCTTTGCACCTACTCTTCCCTCGTCGTTTACTCCGTCCTCGCCGGATCCGTGTCCCTGAAGCGTGTTGACTTCAAGAGCAAGGTTGTTGATGCTCCCGAGATCAAGGCTATCCTCGGTGACGGAGATGACAAGATCCTGGCTCTGTCTGGTGCACTCAGTGCCGGCCCCGGTGCGGACGACACCATGCAAGACGCCCCGGCACCTACGGCGGCGGCAAAGACTGCAGTGAACCTGACGACCCTCGGCACAAGCACCGACCAGCCCGAGGCCGAGATGGCCATTGACTTCTCGCCTCTGGCTCAGCTCGTCTCGAGCCTGTACAACGGCCAGTACAAGTACTTCTTCCAGGCTCTTGCCGAGGTCGAGGAAAACTTCCTCACGCAGGACCGCTACCTGCACGAGCACAAGAACTGGTTCATCCGTGAGATGCGCCTGCGTGCATACCAGCAGCTCCTCCAGAGCTACCGTGTGGTTGGTCTGGAGACGATGGCGACCGACTTCGGCGTCACTGTTGATTTCCTAGACCGGTATGATTCTTTACCCGATATGATTGAAAATCAGATAACTAACTCTGCACTAGTGACCTCGCCAAATTCATCGCAGCCGGCCGCATCCCCTGCACAATCGACCGCGTCAGCGGCAAGGGTGTCATCGAGACAAACCGCCCCGATGACAAGAACAAGCAGTACCAGGACGTCGTCCGCCAGGGCGATCAGCTCATCACCAAGCTCCAGAAGTACGGCCAGGCCGTGCGCCTGAGGGGAAGCGAGCGGGCGTAATCTGCCAGTGGTGTCATGGAAAGATGGGAGGGTTGACGCTCTCTCTTCACCAAATGCTTACACAATTGTGTCTCATGGTCAGGATTGGGACGACAAAAGGCGCGAGGTAGAAATGGCAGGCGGCGAATAGAACCGAGGGGTCGGGCAAGCAAATGTGTGCTACTACAATAACTCTGTATGATACCTACGGATTAGACGAGCCAATATGAGAAATCTTGGCTTGAACGCATCTCACTGCCTATTCCCTCATCAATGAGGTGCTTGATGGTCCGGTGTTTGGCATCCTTTCCGAGGTCGACCAATTCGCTCAGCAATATGCCAAAATGGGTTGTAGACATGAGATCTGATAGCCCTGCCAGCAACATAATGTTCCGTCTCTTGTGAAAAAAACAGCCAAGGACCGCACGATGGGCCACTGTTGGGAGCGGGAAAGTGTTCTATTCTCGCAAGCTATGCTGAAAAGAAGCATCAACAACACGCTAAAATACCCGGAACTTCCTCGCGCGATGCAAGATGTACTGCAACTTTTGAAAAAAGGGGAGATTTCCAACCCTCCGCCTCACGCACCGCCTCCTTTATCCTTTCGATATTCGCATGCTATGTTCTCGTGTGCATTCAAAGCCACACACCACGTTGTGCGAGCCCCGTAAATTTCCAAGCCGCGCACTCGCTATCAATGCGAACCTGACTCCATCCAGCGACGGCTGGCCTCCTCGCACCTCACTTGCCCCTCTCCCATGTAACCCTGGAGAAGACGAACGATAGGCCATGAAAGCATCGCTTACCGGTACTTCTCGACAAAGTCCTTGTGGAAGTTGATGATACGGCCGACCCAGTCGGTGCCGGGGGCGAGGAAGGTGGTGCGGAAGTGCAGGGTCCCCTCCTTCTGGCCGAATCCGCTGCCGGGAACGACGCAGACGCCGGTTGCCTCGAGCATGCGCATGCAGTAGAACTCGTCAGCGGTGCGGCCCTCCTTCTTGGCGGCCTCGGCGGCCTTGGCGGGGAGCTTGATGGTCGGGAAGAGGTACATGGAGCCCTGGGGTTTGCCGCACTCGACGCCCTCCATTTGGTCAAAGGCCTTGTGCAGCGCCGTGGCGCGCTCCCTGAGGCCGTTGAAAATGCCATCGTACTCCTTGCGGTACAGCTCATAGCTGGGCTCGCCCTCCTTAGGGGGGTTGACCATGAGCTCGACGATGCACTGGCCGATGACGGGGGCGCAAAGAGTGATGGAGACGAACTTGTAGATATTGGCCTCAACCTCGGGGTCGAAGTTGACGAGCTCGAAGTAGCCGCCGCGATGGCCGCACTCGCCGACCATGCCCTTGGAGATGGAGTGCAGCGAGGCGAGCTCGACATGGTCGTACTTGCCGGGGGTCTCCTTCTGCAGCTTGCGCAGGACGCCCTTGAAAGAGTGGAACTTGCCAACAAAGACGTTAGTCTGGTAGACCTCGTCGGCCATCACCACGAGGCTCTTCTCGGCCGCAAAGTCGTACACGGCGCGGATGTCATCCTCGGACAGGGAGGCACCGGTAGGGTTGCCGGGGTTGATGATGACGATAGCGCGAACATCGGTGCCCTCCGAGGTGGCCTTCTCGTAGGCGGACTTGATGGTGGCCAGGTCAGTGCCCCAGCCGGAAGCCTCGTCGAGGTAGTAAGGGACGCAGGTGGCGTTGAGGACGGAGAGAGTCGCCGTGTAGAGCGGGTACTGAGGGATGGGAACCAGGACACCGCTTGTAGAGTCCTTGGAAATGATGTGCAGGAGGGTGTTGACACCGGACGAGGCACCGCCAGAAAGGTAAATGTGAGCGGGATCGGCAGGGAATCCGTCTCGGCCTACAAAGCATCTTTGTCAGTTTTTTCTCGCGGCACAAAAACAATCAAAGGTCGAAACCTACGCTCGATGAAGTTGGCAATGCTCTCCTTAATAGCAGGGACACCGGCGCTGGCACTGTATGCACCAACGGAGCCAACCTTGCTCAGGAGCCACTTGGCGCGAGTGATGACATCGCTCTTGTAGCCGAGCTGGTTCAGCAGAACGTCCTCGTGCTCGAGGAGCAGAGGGTTCTCCAACAGACTGACAACCTGGCGGAAAAAGGTAATAGGCTTCTGGTCAAGCTGCTGGGGGTTTCCGATGTTGGCCGAGATGACAGCATCAAAGGGGAGGTCCTTATCGCCCTTGGCCAGCTTGGCGCGGTATTCCTCCGACTTTACAGCCAGTTCGCCACGAACGGCGTATTCAGCGGCAACAACATGCTGGTTGATGTTGTGCACGTTCAACCGACGGGACGGTGTGGTCGACATGGTTCGATGGTGGGGTGACAAACGGCTGTTGCTGTTGCTGAAGAAAAGTTGCCTCTGCGATGGCGGGGTATTGGAGAGGAAGATCTTAGGGGACCGCGGGGTATCTGTGCAAGAGTCATATAAAAGTTAGTCAAAGGGCTCCTACCGCGCAACAGTGGAGATCAAGGAGGGAAAAAAGGCAACCTTTGCTCGAATGGATAACACCGGGAAGAGACCGAGCAAGGATTGTGAAAGATAGGAAAGACCAGGGGACGACAACCAGAAGAATGAGAGTTTGCAGAAACGCCCGAAAACGTGCACAGCCAGCTCAGCTGCTATTTGTTTTACTCCACGTCAACGAGGCAAAAAGCAGTGACTAACCAACCAGTCCTGGACGCGGGCGGGGTGAGTTGTAAACAGTGCGCGATGTACAATGTCTTATTGACGAATATCAACGGACAGAGCGAAGAGAAAGGATGACGAAGTAGAGAAAAAATCAGCGCATTTCTTTCCCGTCATCATCCGATGCAGCCAGCTTCTTATTCACCACTTTTGACAGCCACAACCAACTAGGCCGGTACTGAGACTTGTAACATTGGGCACGAGACATGGCCCTGCATCATGAATGGTCCCAAAGGGGGCGTGACATCGTTTCTGTGCTGCCGCGGGATGCCTTCCATGACGGGCTGTGTTTCCCCTCCCCCTTCTCGACGGACGCCAGCCGAGCACTTGCTGATCGCTGGTGAGTCGTAGACGAAGCCAGGGACCAGACCCGGCAGTGTTTGACGCGGGTGTGCTTCAAAGGCCTGTGTCCGAAACCGGTGGCCGGTAACAAGGGGGGGGAAAGCCGGGCCTAGAGCTTCTGCGGATTCTTCCGCCCTAGGGCCTTTTCGAATCCCAAGTCTCTCGAGACTGTGGGAGGCCAATGGCTGGCAAGAGACTATAGGTAGTGGGAGAGCAAAGGGTGGATTTCCACGTGGGGGTTGTCGAGCGCACTTGACCGGACTTGGGTGATTGATCAAGTGTATTGTTGGTCGTTTGTTTGTTCGGTGAGGGCTCGTTTGCGGAGGGGAAATAGCGCGGTGCGCGGTGTACTAGGTGAGAAAACTGGGGAGAAGCGCAGCTTGGAGGAGCTGAGACCAACTGAAAGCTCCCACTGGAAACTTTCCCACTTGGGGCCGCCGGGGAATGTGAGGTCGAATAGCTTTGTGCTGCACTCGACCACCACCAACAGCTGCTGGCATGGATGATGGAAATAGCCCGACCTGGCCTGAAGCAAATAAGAACGCTCTGAGGCAACACCGCAAGAAGATCAAAATTAATGTGGAAAGCTTCCGCAGCACCGCGACGTACCGTTTGGTCTGTGACTGCCATTGCTTCCGCCGCTCAACATCCGGACTTGGCTCGCGACGACAGCCTGCCTCCTCGGCGCGCCCAGCGACCTTGCTGCGCCAGCCACTCTGCTTGCTGCCATTGTCGAACTCATTGTGCCGGTCGGAATTTACAGGATATGTGGTATGGTCGGTCTCGCGAAGCAGGATTCTCGTAGGGAAATCGCCGTTTTCAATGTCGTGTGCTTACGTTCCGGGTTCTTCGTCGGCGCCGATGTGATGGAAACGACCAAGGCTCGAAAATGGCGTAGAAGGAGTCTCGACGAGACAGCGTCTGCTCTCGGCGTGCTGGAATTGCCCAAACAGCCCAAGTGCGTACAGCTGAACGTTGAAGATTGAAGAGAGGAAAGAAAGAACAAGTCTCGGGACAGCGACGAGCCCATCTTACCCTCCTTTCCCCCCTTCAGGGAAATAGGCAAGACAGGATGTCCGTTCCTCTTTATTTATCCATCACCCACCGCTCTCCCAATTTAGCCCACCCTCCTACTGCTCATCTCACGGCATGGGCCTGCAACTTCTGTTGAGAAGGGCGACCCAAGCTGCTGCGAGATAACATGCCCGCCCAGCGGCCCGGCCGCCGGCCAGTCGGGGAGGGGGTCTCTTCGCGGGAAAAGCCACCTTAACTGCGGGCTTGAATCCGAAGAGGGACGCATGCAGGGAAGCGGCGCGCAATGAAAAGGCACGAAACCCCCAAGCTAGAGTCACCAAACGTATTCGTGGACTAGGTTCGTCCGAACACACACGGCGGTGACGCTTCATGCCATGTCCCTGCAAGGTCTAAAGGAATCCCCGGGGCCTTCGGGGGAGCTATTGATGAGGAAGTTCCATGGCAAAGTGCCGGAAACCCTGAAAAGTTCCACCGGGCTAACTCCGTTGATCGGATTGCCATCTCTGAGACCTTCTCACCGCGTAGTCTACCTGTAAGCTTGACGAATGGTGAATCGCAGGTCGCAGCTGTTGCAATCTCCTGTCGTCCTCGACTGTTCGCAAAAATCCTGCAACTGACGATACAATCTTCACCCCCTTATGTCCAGGCTTCTTCCAAGCGGTCTCACTTGACTAACATTATGTCACCAGGATGACTATCAACAGGAAACCCATGAAGATCCGGATGAGACTGTTTGAGACAAGTGTCATGGGCCAAGCAGCTATCCCCACGCCAGCTGCCGCCACTACGTAGCAGCTGGAGAAGATGCGAGCTGTGGAGAAGAGACCTGCAAAAGTCTGATCCACTCTTGACCGAACTCACCGAAAATAGCACCCATCGAGTTCACGGTGAACGGCCCGTTTCTCGCCGAGAGCCTCTCACCACCGCAAAATTACAGTCTCCATACCACGAAGCTATCCGCCCGTGATCTCCCAGATCGAGTACAAGCAGCTTCAAGCTCCAACCCCACCAATCGCGCGCGGTGCAATTCCCATTCCAAAATGGCCAAGAAAGGTCCGTTGTTCAGTCCCTGAGAAATTCGGTCTATACGGGTGCATCTCTTGAACCGTCAAGCTAACTGTTTCCTAACAGCGAAGTCTCGTGTCATGATCGTCCGGCTCTTGTCCATGGCCGCGACTGGATACTTTTACACCTTCAAGCGCCTCCGAACCGCGTCGCCTATGAGCATGCTGAAATACGACCCGATAAGTACGACAACACCTGCACGCCCTCGCTCCCCGAGATATACATGCTCCTTTCCACGAACGTTGACCCCGTCACGCTGCAGAGTCGAGAAAGGGATGGCAGAGCTGACGATATCACAGTCCGGAGAAAGGTTTTGTTCCTGGAGCAAAAGAAGAAGGGCAAATGAACCCGCACTATGGCTCATCATTCAATCAATACCATATGTAACAACACTGATATCACCATATACGGCGTTCACGGCGGCATGCAATTGGTTTTCGGAGACCACATGGACGGGTTGTACATCAGCATGCGCCCCCTCAGAGACATCGCGTCCTAGGGAGGACATTGGCACGTTGGGCCGGCACCATGGGCGGGTTGAAAGTAGAGGCTTTGAATGCCGCGATCTAGATGTATATTCTACGAAAAGAAAAAGACCAACACTTCCAAATACCTTCGCTTCATCTAATCACTACGATATGTCTCGACGTACCAAAAAGTTTCAGCTATTAATGCCACAAGATCCTCATACCTTGCTTAAGTCGGTATCGCGCTGCGAAGGGGCCCTTTTCAAACAAATTCTAGTACTGCTTCGTACCTTGGGTCGCTGCTGCTTCTGCTGCGAGTCTCCATCGCGCCCTATGTTCTCCTGGGGGACTGAATCAGCGTCCGACTTATGCATACTCTGGTGGAAGTGACGTGAGGTGTGGTCGCTGTCCTTGGACTGTTCTTGGGAGGCTTGAGTGTTGTCTCTCTCGCTTTGCTGCGACAAATCGATCTGCTGAGGATTGACAATGCTGCGTCCTCCAACTACTGAAGGTTCGTCATCCTTATCATCTACAGGAAAGCTGATCTTCGAACGTTTCGGGCGTCGAGAGAATGGTGGAACACTGCTGCTCCTCTTGGTTCCTTGCTTGCCGCTCTGAATTTCCTGCTCTGGTATCTTTTGCCAAACACCATGACTGGTCAAATCGGAGACTTGGCTTTTACGATTACCCACAAGGTTAGATCTGACATCTGAGATGGCAGTTTGGCCAGTCCTGGACGTACTCTGAACAGGGCGATTATACAAAGAGTGCCCGGCATGCTGGGTGACCATAGGCTCTCTGGTAGCACTTGATGACCATGCAGCCATTTTTTGCTGACGAAGGATTGGTCTGGGATGGGCTTCATGGCTTCTTGCTTCCCTCCGTTGAAGTTTCTCCTGCGCGACTGAAGGTACAGGCACCTCGTGATCCGGCTCCTCGACAGGTCTACGAAACACAGTCTTCTTGCCTCTTTGTACAAGCGCAATATCAGAGGATGTGAACTCGAAGTTTGTCAGTGGGTCGACTGAATCACCTGGTTGCAACTGGGGAAGGTCCGGCTCTGGCACCACCAGACTGTCAGGAGCCAGTATGTCGTTGCTCTCTGCGGCATCCACTTCAAGGAGCATCGTTGCAAGCTCTTTGTTGACCGCTGTGTAGGTCTTGCCGCTTTCCTTGAGCTGCCTGATATCATCTTTCATGTTTTTCAGTTGGGCAAGCTGTTCAGCCAGCTGGTCAAGAAGATCATCGCCGACAGCCGGTGTCTGGGTTTCGCGGATCTTAAGAGTCAGGTTGGTGATCCTTTGATTAGCATCATTGAGTTCCTTCCGAAGTCTCGATGCTTCAGAGTCGTCTTCCAATGCCTTCAGACGCTTGACCTCTGCTTCACTCTCACACAACTGCTGCTGGATGATCTGTCGAGAGTCTTCAGAGTATCTCATTTGAAGCTCCAACTCTCGTTGCTTCTCCTGTACCACAGTAGCGAAGTCATTTTCTGCGGTTGCCATCTTACACTGCGAGTCCTTTAGTTGTTCGCTTTTTTGGCGAACGTCTTCCTCGGCAAGTAGGAGCCTCTCCCGGAGCTCTCGAAGCATCGCCTCATGACCTTCTCGCTGAAGTTTGAGCTCGGCTTGTGTATCAGAGACTTGAAGCTCCCGTTTGAGCAAGCTTTCCTCCAATACCTGAAGCTTTACTTCTGAGGCTGTTGCATTCTGCGAAGCAAGTACCGTGGATGTCTTCAGTTCTTGGAGCGTGCGAGCCAGCTCAGAAACAGTATTGGTCATTTTCGTCACTTGGTCATCCTTCGACTGGATAGTCTGAAAGAGGCCCTGGGTTTCTTTGTTTTTCTCGGAAATTTCCTGCAGTAGTTGCTGTTGCTGTTCGTTACGTTCTGTTTGGGCGAGTGCCGTATGATCCTGGATGCTCTTCTCGAGACTTTGAAGCCTATCTTCAACGACGGATCGTTCAGCCATCATACTCTTCACCTCTTGACGAAACCTGAACGTTCCTTAGTAGGCGTATCACGAAGAGATAGGTGTTACTGACTGTAAAACCACATCTCCCTGGAAGGTCTTAAGGGCTTGACGGATCTCGTCCTCAACATCCACTCGTGGTGCCGATTGCACGTATCCCCCAATCTCATCCAACCTGTACTAATTAGACTGGCCCTTTTGGTGAACGGCAGACTTGACCTACCTTTCCGTGATACTGATTGGCACAATGTTTTCCTGCATTGATTTGACGTGTATTTCGTCTAGTTTGTCAAAAATCTGCTCGATGTTCCCTTCGACCCGCTGCAACAAGATTTCCTGGTCTCTGCTCTCGCTGAGCTGTTCCTCCAAACCTTTGGTTCTGTCTGCCTCGGCGCGCAAGTCGCCCTCGAGTCTTTCCATGGCATACTTCAAGCTTTTGGTGTTGGTGGCAGCTGAGTTTCGTTAGCTAAATCATCTGAAGCCATCGTACCAAGTCCACTCACCGGCAATCAACTCTTGCTCGAGGATTGCTCTTTTGTCATTGAAAATGTGATTCAGCTTTTCTTGAGCATTTTGCTTCTCCTGCAAAACCAAGCGGAACTCCTCTTCGGACTTCTGATGTCCCTTCCTCATGTCGTCGATTGCCTTCCGGCTGATGTCCTTGGATTGCTGCCAAAGCTTCTGGTGTTCCGCAATAGCCTTGTTGAGATAATCCTTGTATCCACGACCTTTTTCCTGCAGCTTCTCCAGTCTAGATTGCGTTTCTGCAAGCTTGTTCTTCAGTTTAGTGGTTTCCATGCCGTGCTGCTCTCCCTGAGCTTGGAGTTTAGCAACCTCATCCTCCAGCTCTTGCGCTCGACCATCACGCTGAGCTTTGATGGCAACGAATTCGTTCTTTTTCTGCTGCAGCAGAGCAAGGTCCGATTCAACGGTCTTTCGACGACCCTGCTCTTGTTGGTAGCGTAAGTGAGACTTTTCCAGGCGTGTCTGCAACAATTCAATTTCCCACTCCTGAGCCGTGATCTTGTTTTTCATATTCTCTTCTGTCAATCTCGCATCCTCGAGGAACATGTTGTGGTGAGACACTATGCTCTTGAGTACGTCAAAGTGGCTTTTTTGCACGTGGGTCTGTCTGTGTGGTTCCCCATATCGATCGTCGGCCTGATTGTTCGACCGAATCACCTCCAGAGCTGGCTGATTATGTCGTTCTTGGTGATTACGGGGCCGCCGGTGTCGCGAGATGTTTGACTGTCGCGAAGTTGCGCGTTGAGGCACATGTTCCCCCTCTTCTTCATGTCTCGTTGATTGACTCGGCAGCTGTCGAGGAGAACGGTGTCGGTATTTCTTGCTGGCAGTACTTGAAGTGTTCCCCCGTGGCAATTCGAGATCGCCAACCGGGGTGCGCGAACGATCCACGGCTTCTTCGAGGTGCTCCTTGTTGTTTCGAGATGCGTGGTATCGCTTTTCGTGGCTGAATCTTTCGAGCGTATCGCCTTCAGGAGACAATGATGTCTCAACTGGTGCCATGGTCTTCATTTTTTGGTTTGAAGTCAGTGCGCAGTTGACGATGCTATCCTTTGCCCTTCGGGAGTTATTAAAGCATGTTGTAGAATTGTTGTTGGCGACTGCAGCTTGGCCTGATACGTGGGCAGACACCCGACTGATACCAGGCAGAATAACGTCGGCATCAGCAAAAGGACGGCTATTGAGCCCCCTTTCCATAGTGAAATCTGGACGGTGATCGATACTCTTCCTTTGGAGTTTCGAGACCTGTTCTCTAGTTGTATGACGTTCAAATGGAGCATTCGTCTGACCAGAGGCATGCTGAGTTGGCAATCTAGTCTGATTGTTTACATGCTCAAGTTTGGGCTGAGCAGAACTCGAGACTTGAGAATCGTAGGCTTGATTTGTCTGCTTCTCTTGGCGAAGATGACAAGATAAATCACCTTTCTGGGTACCGGCAGTGTTGCGGTGGTGACCGTTATTGTTTATGTGGGCAGTTCGTTCCCAGGTTGGTTGTAGTTTGACAGACTCAGGAACTGATCTGTCTACGACAAGTCTCTCTGTCTTATCTTCCAAGTTCTCGAGGACCTCAAAGTCAATGTTAAGCTCATGTTGGCGACCAGAAAATTGGTTTGGCCGGTGCTTTGGCTGCGGTGCAAAAGTGAACGATTCATTGGCCTCATGTGCCTGCTTGTCCTCTGCTGGATAGACCGTGGATGTAGGGCCACATACGTCTGACTGATGGGTGCGGTATCGTCTATTTTCTCTATCTTGAAAGACACAGATGGTGGTTGGTTGCGAATCTCCGAGTTGGCTTAGCAAGCCTGGCTGTTGCTCTACCCTGGAAGGGAAGTTGTCATCCGGAGGATCACTCTTGAGAGGGCGGTTAGGACTGTGTCTTTTCGAGCCAGACTCGTGTACGTTTGGAGAATACCGAACCCTGTCTCCATTTGTGTGGAGCGGATCGGGACTGGATTTCCCAGTCATATTGAAAGGGGACGCCAAAGGCCGCGGCGATAGTGCACGTGATGGTAGTCAAATCTTGCGTTTTGGAGAAAAGACGAGATTGGTGCAGCAAGTAATAAAAGAACGCCAAATTGACCAAGGGAAAACGGCAGTCCTTCAATGGATGAATGGATGAATGGATGAATGGATGATGGGTTCGGGAGGTGTTGTTGGAATGACTACCTGGGAATGAAAGTAGCTTAAGAGACTGACGAACAATGACACGGCCAAGGAGACATTCTACAACGTATGCCAGGAATCGTCACTCAGGACGCCTGCTACGATAGTGCTGTTGCTAGCCCGCGGAAAGCACGAGAACTTGACTTCTTGTCATTTCGGCGAGGAGCAGAAGTCATGAGGCAGTTGATATAGTAAGTATTTATCCAAGCACGGGGAAGGTGCGATATTTCCAAGGCAGCACCGAGGAGTACCCGTCTAGCGCGGCAAGCTCGTAACTTCTATATGCGTTTACATCGAGTCGAGACGTATTACAGCAGGCCAGCGTGTCTTTCTGAAATAGAAAACGGGTTTCCATCGCCGTAGTTGCTCACTAAATCCCACGGACAATGGTAGGACACTTGAGGTATCTGTCACTGTCCCAACTGTCATTTTAAAACATAAAGCACCTGAGACTGGTGGTTATTCGCAGCCAACTCTTCTAAGTACATGACTTGGACAAGATTAAGGAGGGGATGTGTCCAAGTGACTAAGATGAGGGAGAATCTTCTTCAACGGATTTGGCAGCAACCGGAAAGATCAATGTATGACTCCATCCCATCAGCATCGCCTCAGCATGGCTTCTCAGAGGCAGTTCGGCTTGTCTTGTCCCGCCGAGGGCTATGTCTGCCACGCAGACGTCCACGCAAACAGACTATTACAAATTTGAACTGGGGATAGGACAGCTGTGTGACGGTTTCCTCGAAGCGATCCCTAGTCTCATGAGGGCTTCTCAAGCTGTCCGAGCGAACCTGAAGTGGTTTGCGTTGGAACGCAGCATATAATCGATGAAAAGGTCGCCTTAGAGGCGCACTGCTGTTAAGCAATGTCATTGCTAATAACAGAAAAACATCTCAATCGACAATTCCACAGTACAATCATCTTGCAGGGCAAAGCCGGGTTGCCGGAACTCCGCCCTAAATCCGTGCGATGAAGCACGGCAGAAGAGGACATTCACCCTTCGGCCCTGCGATCTGCTCCCTCATGTGACCTGCTGAGTGGCCGATGCAGGCTCCAGCGACGAAACCCTGCGGCCACACGGATGACATTAAGGACCCCCAGGATAGGTACAGGCCAAGGCCGCTGTCCAATTTTAGATCTTACCCAAGAAAAAGCCAAGCAACGCCGATGCCCATCAATATATCGACATGAGCGGGAAGGAGAGTGAGCGGTAACTGACACCTCGGAGGCATCATCGTCGGAACCGACGTGATCCGCGCCTGAAGGGGGGAGTAAGCCATGGCCTAACCCCTCCGCAGGTGCGTCTTGCTGTCAGCAAGAGCGTGACAGTGACGAGACGTGCAGTGCCATCACGGAGAGCAAAGCCACGGAACGTGCCTCCCTAATGAAAGCTTCAAATCAGCTCTAGGAGCTTGCTCGTCACACTGCATAGTCGACTCGACGCCTGCGCATCCTCATCCCGATCACACGAGTAAAGCTTGTCGATATAGCATCCACTGCTGTGACCGATGGCCCTACAGTGGCTTTCATTGTAGTATTTCGGCCATGGGAGTGCCGAGCAGACATATATGCGGGTGCTAGGAGATAGCCATGGGGTTCGATTGTGAGGGACTCGACGCACGCCTTCGTCCCCTGCGCCCCCTAAAAAAGCGGCCGAGCCGCCCATCCTAGGCCCCGTCCACTGATTGGACACTTCACCCCTGTCCCCAGATGTGAAAGCGCCTTTGTGCCGGCGCTTCGAGGCCGCTCAACGCCAATGAGAGCATCGCGAGCCTATTTCGACCGTCTGGGACTCAGACTTCGCAGGATAACAGGGTACTTTGATACGGTTCCTGCGTTCTTCTTCTTGGGCCCCACAACGCACGCGCACAAGTGCCGTGCGAGAGACTGTTCGGGTAAGAGAGTCGCTTGTAGCTCATCACATTTCCTAGCTTGTGCATCTTCTGGATGGCTGCTTGCAGGGGGAGACGAGGAGAGCAACGATTGGCGCCGGGCAACCATGTAAAAGACCCCTCTCGAGGCGCTTAAACAATGTAAATAGTGAGTTGGGCCACATTCGTGGCGCCGGGTATCCTTTCGATTTTGTCCAGTATTTTTCTTCTTACTCTACTCGTACGATTCCCACGCCGTTTTCCCCTTTCTTCTCTTCCCGCCCAGTTTGCCTGTGCCTCTTGAACCTTTTCTCAATCCGCCAAAACAACGACACTGACCCTTTGCCCTCTGTGAGCGGCACTCTGGCCAACACCAACACCATGGCGGCCACGACCTCCAACTTCTTCCCTCTGGCGACCGAGACTTATTACCCAGACACACCTGGCGATGCCAGCTCATCCGGGAACGGAGTCGACACCGAGGCGGGAGCATCTGGTGACAGCCCTGGAGCGGTCAACCTGTCCCGCGAAGCTATGATTGCTATTATCGTCGTCGTCTCTGTGGTCGGCGCTCTCGGAAGTACGTATAAGAAAAAGACGCCAACTCTTGTAGGATACCGGTTTGCTAACCCCATATACAGTTGGCATGGCCATCTTGTTCTACGTCGCCAAGAAGCGCGAATGGAAGATCAGAGAGACCATGCGCAAGTCCGCCAGGAAAGTCGTCACAGCCCTCACGCCGCGGAGGACCGAGTTCCCCAAATCAGTCAAAGAGTCTTCGTCTCCGCCACGCAGCCACCGCGGCCGCGCGAGACTCGCTGATGACGTGCCGCCCACACCCAGACTCCGTCCAGAAGATCTCGAAAAAGGTCTCGCGCAGGCCGAGTCGAAGCGCAAGCTGATGAGATGGGGCCGGAAGTGAGAAAAGGTAGAGGGTAGTGAGACCTTGGGATTGCAGGCCGCCAACTGGCTTGGTGCTGGTGTAATGGGTTCATTTGCTGGGGCGGTCGAGACTGGACGATTGACGAATATGGTTCTGCGTGCGGCGTAAAGAATACTCTTCCTTGTACCATTATTATGCCCCTGAGATCTTATAGCGGTTATACTTATAGCCTTCGGAATGTGTTTGTGCTGGCGCTTCTTCTCGCATTGTTCTTGTGATCCCGAGGCCTCGAGTCGTCGTGGTGATCGGGCTGCTGCCCGCCATGCTTCTTCTTGCCCTGCGGAACAAACGTAACCGCCTTCTCGCCGTACGCATCTCCACGGTTCGTCTTGTTGATGCGGCCCGACTTTTGCACCCTGGCACCCAGGGCAGTGTCCCTCTCTTTTCCGCCCTTCTGGTTAGATGAAGAGATCTTCATTTCGTACTCCTGGGTAGCCTTCTTTCCAAGACCCTTGGGGCCTGAGTCCACCACAGGGCGAGCAGCAGAACTGACACCAACCTCGTGAGCATCCTTTGCGGCAACCTTTGTGCTGGGGTTGAGAGCACGGAACTCGTAGGTGGACTCGTCGACGGCGAAGGCCTCGTCCTCGAAGAGCTTGCTGAAACGGTCGTCGCCGAGGAGACCGGCCTGTGTGTCCACAACCTCTCTGTTCTCCTGCTTCTTGAGAAGCTTGTCGGCGAGCTTCTGGTTGACCTTGACCTTCTTGTTGCCTCTGATTCTGCTGGCGCGCTCCTTTTCGACCTTCTCCTTGATGCGCTTCGTCCTCTCTTCCTCCCAGACATACGGGTTCGCGATGAGACGAGCTTGCTCGTAGAGCTTCGACGCCACGAAATAACCGTGCATGTAGGGCCGGAGCAAATTCGTCTTGCCGATGAGATGCTCCATGCTTAACTGCTTGAGCTCTGGCAGCGTCAAGAACTTGTAGTTGTCGTAGGTCTCTGAGCGAACCTCCTCCGCCATCTCCTCGACCATGTTGTCGAGGAACGAGCACCATCTCGGGGCCGGTCCCAAACTGGGGATGAAGAAGGAGTGCTGCGACTTGCCTTCGTTAGCTGTAAGAAGCATGCCGGTGTCCTTGCACCAAGCACTGAATCATGGTTAGCGAAATACCAAACATGATTGGAACTTCATCACTTACATATCGTTGAGATCCACGATGGGCTCGACTGAGGTCCACGGCGTGCCGTCGGTCTCGTCCCAGATCTTGATGATCCTCTTGTCGGCAGAAAGAACCTTCTTTTCTTGCGAAGCAGTGGTCATGTGGATCAGCTTCTTGATCGGGAAGCCGTAGCCTTGGTCCTTGGTTAAGAGAGGAACAGGGCGACGCAAATCAAACAGCTGAACCATGCCAGTCGCGGAACCGGTAGCAATGGACAGTCCTGAAGCGCTGAAGTCCAAGGCGGTGATGGCACCCTCTTGGCATCCAAGACGCGCCACTCGTGACTTCGATCTGGGGTCCCAGAATTCGACCGTGCCGATGGACGTACCAAAAGCGGCAAGACCATGAGTGCCCTCTGCCAATGCAGCAGCGTTGACACTTCCCGCCTCGATGCTTCCCTGCAGACCAGCCCCTTCTTCGTCGCCACCGACGTCAATCTGGAACGACTTCATGAACCTGCCAATTTCAAGGTTCAGCCGGAAGACTTCGCCCAGGCCATCTTGATCCACGCCCACCGCCGGGATAAGGGCTTCGGTAGATTGTCTGTCGTAAAGCAAGTCTCTTCCGTAACGAGGAATGCGAATTGTGTAGTGGCAGCCCATTGGGGTGTGGAACTCGAGGCGTCGGTCGTCTTGGAGAAGCAGAGTTTTCGAGTAGTCGGAGGAGAGGATGGTTAACTTTTCGGTAAGAGAATTGGTATGGCGCGCAAACGACAGAGACAGTTGAGGGAGGTTGTGGACGTGAATCTGAGGCTTGTAGGTTCCTGCGCTGACGGCCCAGTCCCATCTTCACTGACACGAATGCAGGTACTGGCTTCCTCAAACTCGAAGTCCTGGAGGAGCTCGACTCGGTTTTGGTATTCGGGGTCGTTCTTCAGCGATCGCTTTCTCCGTCTCGCCAGCCAGTCCGGTAAAGGTCTGGCTGTTGAGGCACCGGAGACGGTGTACACCGGAACGGTTCCCGGGTTTGTCAACTTCATCGTATTTGTCGGAGACCGCGATCGAAAATTCGGGTATGGGTTCAACGCGACGATGCGACGGCAAGAGTAAGAAATCCTGCGGTCGAGGGCAGCCCGCAAAGGAACTTTTTTTCTCTTATCGATAAGCGGGTCGACACGGGAGCCACACCTCGTGGGTCCGTCCACCCCCTAGGCAAGGTTGCACTGGCTGGGCCTGTTAGTGCACTCCGCCGCTTCAGTTCAGCCTCCGACGCTATCCCGACCCGGCCTGACTATTGTTGCGAAAGCTTCGACAACATCCAACGACTCCCGACGACGACAACGACGACAACCGAGCATCGGCGGCATTTAGTCTTTCATCACCTTCCGCTTACTTGACAGCATTGCTCATAGTCGGCTGCTTGATTATTCCGAAACAATCTTGGACTCGGTTGAAGCCGAGAAGCCGGTCCCTTGGTCGCGCTTTGGACACACGGAGATGGAGTCGATGACTTCGCGACTTCGAACAAATCACCTCTCCGAAACCCTTTACAATCACATAACATCTTCCGATCGATGCCTAAACGAAACCAAAATTTTATGACTGCCGATATCCAGCTGTGAATCGGCTCCTGTGGCCCTAGGAGCGTTGGCGACCGAGAGTTGATGTTGCGACACGGAAGACATCCCGCCGTCGCGAGACTCGACCGTCGATATGGACACGAGCGAATATGATACTAATACCCTATTAAATGTGCGTTTGGTTTCGGAAATTTCGGAGGTTGTTACTGACGCTGTACTACTAGAATAATATCTCGTCGATCGTTTACCGAGTTTATGAACCATCCCAGGAACAAGCTCAAACCTTTCCTTCGGCGGCGGCAGACGTCGAGAACGAGCTGAGGAACCGTGGCCATGTCATTTATTACGATGCAACCAGACGCGTTCTGTGGTATTTTTACGTTCCAAACAAGGATGGGGTCTCGGACGAAGAAATCGATGGGGTCTTGGGCAACAGTGTCAGTGTCGCTGGCGTAACACTGTTGATGGTTGACGAAGGTTCCTTCGAGCCAGTCAGCTTGTCCAAGGGGCGAACGCTAGGGCAGCAATCCTCAAATACACCAACGAGTTCATCGTCGAGCAACTCAGCTCTGGACCTGTCGCTTCGAAATCCGCAGTCAGGGACCTCCGGACCGCCGAGCTCTTCCGATCCCGAACCGAAGGGCACAGGCTCGGTTGCCCTGCCCGATGCGTACGAGCACTTCATCACGGCGGTTCTGTCGACGATATCGGCAGCCTTCTGCAATCGTATCTCGGCGATACCCCTAAATCACCGAACCGTTCTGCTGCCCTCGAGAGTCACGCGGGATGGCCAAGCTGAACGGGCTTTGGACACGGAATCCGCGGTTGTTGGAACATTCCGAGTCTACCTTACCACGACAGGGGCGTTGGTTATGAGTTTGTCTTTGTCCTGCTGCGAGGGTCTCTTATCGGTGAATGAGCCATCATCTCCGAATCAACTTGTTCTGGGTTCTCAGATCCTGGCCGCCCCATTCGGTGTTCTGGCAAATTATCAAGGATTTGTAGGCGGAGGCACGTCTTATCCCGAACTTGGCCTGGGACAAACGCCAGATACTCAGCTTTGGAGGAGTGTGGATGCAAGATCCTCACAATGGAGAGAGACCTGCATCAAGATCCTTCAGTCCCGCGGGCTTTCTCCCACTCTCCTCCAGTCTTGTCCCTGGATCGCATTGCAGCTGCTTCGCCGAAAACCGGGCGATCACAAGATTGATGGAAAAACAGCGCCACTTTCTTCTACGCTGGCTACGATCTCATGGCCTGCAGTCCTCTGTTTCCGTAAAAAGTCCGTCATGCTCGCGCGAAATAACGGCCTTGGGGATTCTGTGCTGCTGGCCCAGGACGAAACGTCCGATTTTTTAAACGACGCGAGAACATGGTTTCAGCTCGGCACTGAAAGAGACGAAAAGGTGTCTAAGCGGAAAAAGGAGAGAGAAGTCGCTGCATCTAAAGAGGCGGCCGCGGCTGCCCCGGTACAACAAGCGAACGGACATTCACCATTAGGACTGAGGCGCGCAAGCAACGCCGCCGCGGCGGGTACGATGTACCCGACACCGCCGGACGGAGTTCAGAATCCTCTGGGTATAACACCCTCCATGGACGGGACGACGTCAAGCCCGGGTGCCCCTGGGACTACGATGGCAGTGATTGACATAGATACGACTATGGCTGACACAGGCACTCATGACACATCTGCGATGAATACCAATCAGCACAATGAAGCATACGGTGACGGATGGCAATCGAACGATAGTAAAAGAGACCGGGCCGACTCTTTTCTGGCTGGCGACAACGACAACCTTTTCGGTGACATGGGACCAGATATGTTTGGGGACACCGACATTACGGACGCTGATTTCAGCTTCTTTGACGAAGAGGGCGGCGATGACCTGGATCTGTCGGGCTTGCCTGATTTGAGTATGCCCGATGCACCCTCTGCGCCGTCTGCCGTCCCGGTTCCTGTGCCCGAGCCCACAAAAATGATGCTTCCCGCAGTAGAGGAAGTCAAGCCAGTACCAAGTCCCCCGATTTTCGCAAAACCAGAATTGAAGCATGCGCGAAGCACGCTGTTGGATGAAGGGAAGCAAAAATTCAACGCAGAAAAGGCAGCTGGTGTCAAACGTGAATCAAGCCCGTTCGATCCAGACACTGTTTACAAAAGAGTTCGGGCTTCTCTGGCAGACATCCGCTCCACCCCACAGAGAACACCAACGCGGAAGGGCAGCATCTTCGACAGCGTCGACTTCGACCCAGTTCTACCTCTTGTGAATAAGAAGTATGAGCAAGGTGGTCGTTTTGACTGTCCCCCAATCTTTCAAGGGCAGTCGCAAGACGCAAATAAACAGTCCGTTTCTCAGGGGCCACCAACAACTGACTACCTGCGACGACATGGAAAACAACGAAAAGCACTGCGACAGCCAGAACATACAAATGCGTTGATTCGCACAATTACGGGCAACCTCGAGAACAGCTCACTCATTGCAAGCCCTGGAAAGGGAGACGACCTGGCATCTGATGCAGACGACATCAGCCTGGTGTCAGATCAGGACGATTCGAGTGTGTCAGAGGATGAGCCAACATCGCCCTTCAAGTCTAGCATCCGAAGGCTCAACCTGGACGACGATGTTGCATCCCATGTCACCTCTCTAAGAGATATCGAGTCTGTGGAGGACTCTGACCCAGCGTTGGCTTTGGATCTCCCGAAACTAGCCAAAGCTGAAGCGTCGGAAATACTGCTACCCAAGTACTTCGAGGACGCAGAGTCGCTCCCTATCTATCTTTCGCTCCCGGATGAGGACACGATTACGATTGCACAGATTGTGACCGAGCAGGCTGTGACGGGTAATTTGAGGATACGCGATGCGCTTGCGAATACTTTGAATACTGCTATTGTATCAGATACGCGTCGCCAGCTGTCCTCCCTTGGCCGGACTGCTCTGCAGGCATTGCGTGAAGTCATTCCCTCTTGCCTCGGAGAGTTCAACACGTGCAACTTTAAGGGCCTCGTTGAAGTCCCCGACGTTCCCCTGATCGGACCGCCCAGCAGACTTCATCCAAGGCCGGTCAACCCACGAGACAATGCAGAGCCGCCGAAGCCGAACAATCTCTTCCAGATCCCAGCTCCTCATATGGAGCTTCGCCGTGCGGAAGCCAGACTGTCGGTTCTGCCCGCAAGCGTTCATTTTTGGGAAAGTCTGGGGCTTGGTCCTGCTCAGGGGACGAAGGACGTCAACGTCGTGTGTGTGTTCCCCCACTGGGATGGGATGTCAGATATTGCCGCTGCCTTTTTGGATCGCATGCGAAACGTTTACGAGCTTCTGAAACTAGGCTCCTTTGAACGTCTCCCGTCCAGTTCCAAAGTCACTGATGGTCTGGTGCCTTTCGAAGCAGACAAGATCGCAACTTCGCCAGGGACGGTTAGCCCGCACATTGTTGCGGGCTTGGGCGATCGCATGGAGGCACTTAACCAAGGGCTCATTTCGGCCAACGCTACAGAGAAGAATTTTGTGATATACTTTGTATATCCCCCAGACCATCCTGGGTCCATCGTCGAGGCTTGCACCGCTTTCCAGCAACTTTTCGAGATGCACAGGAGGTCTCTGACGGATAGACGACAAACTCCGGCCAACGAGTTAGTCTTACAGCTAGTGCCGTTGGACTTCTTGACTTCCTCGACAGGCATAGTGGAGCCAACACCAAGTGACGCAATCAAGTTGGCGATTGAGACATACGACCGTTGCACGCTATTTGGAGGGCCGATGCCATCGCCTGCCATCATGCTGGAGCAGTCGTTGCCACGAGGCATCGACTTCAAACTTTCCAACACATCATCGTCCTCGCTCATGCATGAGAACACTTGCATTCATATCGCCTACGCACAAAGCATCGACGAGAGATGGATTACCGCTGCATGGACGGATAACAGGGGATGCCAGCAGATGACAGCGTCTTACAACCTTGGTCGCAAAGGCAAGCCCCTTTCGACGTCGCTCAACGATGTCTGTCATGAGATATGGGAAACTACCCATGACTTGATCTCCAAATGGAAAGTCCATTGGCGTGTGGTCATCTCCAAGTGCGGGTTCATGGATGCGCAAGAGATTGGATTCTGGCAGGGGCTCGCTCAGACGGAGTCGGTAGCAACAGTGAGCTTGACCTTGATATCGGTCGACACCAATCCATCGATGCAGTTAGTTCCGCCTGCTATCAAGGTCCCGGCATCTGCATCCTCGGCCTTCTACACCACGCCTGTTTCTACCCCACAGGCGTCCATAGTGTCTCCAGAGCAAAGTGGCACCCCGGCAACGCCCATGAAAGAGAACAACCCAGCAAACGCCGCCACGCCGGGCGGCACTCCTGGTGATGCCAACCCTGAGCCAGCCGAAGGAGACGCCATCCTCCTCGACGTTACAGACCAAACATGGGGCGCCGTGCTCGCGCACCGGCTGAGCAACTCATCCACGCTGGGCGAGCTGAACCCGGCCCTCATCAGCGGCTACCTCGTCAAGCGCGGCGGGACAAAGCTCGAGGACCCGCCGGTCGTCATGGAGGTCAACATTGTGCACGCGGACAATAACCCGCGCATGTACGAGCCCCTGATGCGCGAGATGCTCACCTACTTCAGGGGTCTCGGTACTCTGGCCCGTGCGAGGGGCGTTATAGATAGGGGAACGGATGTGCGGCCTTGGCACATTGCGGCAGCGGAGAAGGGCGTCCGGGCATTATATCTTTTGATGTGATTGGGAAACAACGGCGGAGGTATGAAACGTAGACTTTTTTGCTTGCTTTCTGGGGAAGCCAAAGAACATCAAGTCAAAGAAGCGGCGTTGCGAGGCGTTTGAGCATGTGATGGAACGACGGTAGCGCAGAGAAGAAATCGCATAAGACAAAAAAGTCATTGAACATCGTGTTGACGCTGGCACATCTCTTCCTCTGCGCATTGCTTCCATTCCGCCATCTATATCGCTTCCCCATCCTAAACAGTTGATGCTCAGGCAAAATTTCCATCCCATCGCAAACTCATGAAAGCGTTGTTCGTTGCTATACGTCTACGCTGATTTTGATATTCCCATATGAACACCATTTCTTCCCATATTCATCATTCAATTAAACCCAAAAAAAACCGTCTTCTACAAGAATTATATCCTAGTTCCAGAAGCCAGGGAAGAGGAACTCGACCCTCTTCATGGCTTCGGGGTCGCGGCCCTCGGGCTTGGTCATGAACTTGACGGCGCCCTGCGAGGCACCCTCCCACTGCTTGGCAAGGACCATGTCGCTGTTGTCTTGCTTGGACAGCTCGTCGAGCACGCCGCCGACGAGGCGCTTCGCGTTCTCGCCGTTGGCGGCCATGTACTTCATGACCATGGCGACGTCGACGTCCTCGAACGAGTGCCAGCAGTCGTAGTCGGTCGCCATGCAGATCATCTGGTAGGCCATCTCGGCCTCGCGCGCAAGCTTGGCCTCGGGCAGGGCCGACATGTTGATGACGCTGCCGCCCCAGGAGCGGTACATGTGCGACTCGGCGCGGGTGGAGAACTGGGGGCCCTCTGTATTGTTTCGTCAGTATACGGTCTACATCGAACAACCGCCTTCGTGTGAGGAGCACTTACCCATGCAGATGATGGTTCCCTTCTCGTGCAGGACGACGCCGTCGCCCTGCATGTGTGCCGCGCACCGCTTCACAACCTCGGCAAGCCCTTTGTCGAACGGGTCCGCGAAGCCGACGTGCCCGACGACGCCGCCCTCGAAGAAGGTGAAGGGGCGCACGCCCTTGGTGCGGTCGATGACCTGGTCCGGGACAACAAAGTCCATGGGCTTGATCTCCTCGCGCAGGCTGCCAACTGCCGAGAAGGCAATGACGCAGCGCACGCCGATGGAGCGCAGGGCGGCGATGTTGGCGCGGGCGGGCACCTCATGGGGCGCGAACTGGTGGTGCACGCCGTGGCGGGCGAGGAAGGCGATGGGCACGCCGTTGTGCTCGAGGATCTGGATGGGCGACGAGGGCTTGCCCCAGGGCGTCGTCGGGTTCAAAGCCGCGACGGGGGTGTAGCCCTCGAGCTTGCCCAGGCCGGTACCGCCGATGACGGCGATGTGGACGGGACCTGTGGGAGGGAGAGACTGTCAGCTTGGAGACTATAGCTTCACGCGCGCGTGAGGCCGCGGTTCGAGGTTGGAGGAGATTCTGAGGATGAACCAGGGGAGCCTTACGGTCAAAAGTCTCGGGAAGGCTGGCCATTATGTTCTCGGTGAGGTTGTTATGGGAAGAGGGTATAGTGCTCTCGGTGAAAGAGGGCAAGAAAGTAGAAAAGGATGAGAAAATCGAGAGCTGATGATCGGCGCAAAGCTTGAGGATTGCGATACCTAGGAGTCTGACACTTTTTTCGAGGGACCCCGCCGAAAATTACCCCGCCATCCTTCCACGGTTTACATACCGCATTTCTTCAGTGCCCCGCCATGGCGTCGTCCCGGGCATCCCGCTCCCTGGAAACCCCCACCACACACGCTCGCCGTCTTCACCACGTGTGGGAGATCTCCGTGCGGTGTCGGGGGTCTCTTTGGCCAAGTTGGGGTTCAGATTGGAGGCAACAACACTCAACATTCATTTCGTTTGGCTGGAGCTTCCCCTGAAGTGGGAACGATTCAGGGACCTGGTTCTTTCATATGCTCTTTTCATCTGAGGTATCTAACTCTCTAGATTCTTTCTTCTTTTTTCTGCTGGCCTTCATCCGAACTCCAATCCATAGTAGTACGTACAGATAAAAAACGCTTTCTTTATGCAAGAAACAAAAATCACTGGGCCGCGCCCTCGGCCGGACGCACGGGCAGCTCCGACTCCTTGACCGCGCCGTCCTGGGCCGCAGCGCCGCCCTTGCCTCCACCGGGGTAGCGGGAGCCCTTGTCCTTGGGCTGCTTCTTCTTCTTCTTCTTGTCGTCCTCTACCGGGGGGTAAGCCTTCTGCGTAATCTCCTTCCACTCCTCCGAGTCCTGGAACGCCTTCTGGATAGGCGCCAGGAGATCGTTAAGAGCCTTAGTCACTGCGGGCTTCAACAGCTGGGGCGTCAACTAGATTGATGTTAGTCTATGGCCACTGCAACCCATCCCTTTCACTACTTACCACGTCGTTCTTGTAGTCGGTGTGCATCTCGGCGATGTCAGTGTAGACTAGGGGCTCGAGGCCGTCGCGCTCGCGCTCGACGCGGAATTCCTTCTTGCCCTTCAGACCCGCGGCCGGAAGTATCACGTACTCGACAAAGGCCAGGACACCATTGCCCTCGGCAACCTTAGGCACACACTCGGCCTTGCGGAGCTTCTTCTGGACGACCTCGGGCGCATCAAGAAGGTCAATCTTGCTGTCTGCACGAGATAGGTCAGAGGCAGTTCATAAAACGAAGCAGCTCTCATCTTACCAGGGTCGCTTGAGCTCATCTTGCCACCGTTCAGGCCAGGAACCATGGGGTTCAGCAAATGTGCGCGCACTTGGTATCCAACCTTGGGCAGCCACTCGGTTGCCGCCGCGAACAGCTTTCTCTGGTCCATGCCTGGAAATGATCAGTATAAGAGCTAGCCCAAGTCCCAACCGCGAATGCGTACCTCCAAACTGAGCATCAACACCCAAGTGCTCCTCATCGCAAACCTGGAGCACAGGGTAGAGCAGACCGCTCATGGGGGCGTTCTGCCAAAACGTCAGCTTCACCCATGCACCCATTCCATCAGAGTCCTTACATCAGACTGCTTCACGACCTCAGCACCGGCCTTCTTCGCGTCCCTCTCGCTGATGAGCGAGCTCATCTTGTAGACGTCCATAATGTACTCGGGGCTCTTCTGGTAGGAGCTACCCAGGACGAACTTGAGCTTCTCGGTGGAAACGCCGACGGCGTTGAGGATGTTCGTGATGGCGAACTTGTAGAATTTGGCGCGCTGCTCGACAAGCTCGATCGGGGCCTTGAGGTTGTCGAGAAAGCCGTGGATGTCGGCAAGGAGGACGGTCAGCTCGCAACCGGCGGCGAGGAACTGAGCCAGCTTAATGGCTGGCACAAAGTAGCCGCAGTGCGGTCTGCCCGTTGTCGCGGTTCCTACGGCACAAAAAGACGCAAAGGTCAGCCAATTCGCCGACGAGAGGCAATCGCCTTGGGATTGAGGTGATACTTACCCCAGTAAATCTTCGGGTTGCGTCCCTCGGCCAGGATCTTCTCGATGATTTCGGGGTTCATGATCTCGGCCAGGTTCTCCTGGATGAGGGCGAACCTCTCCTGGGCCTTGGTGCCTTCCGCCATATTGCTGGTGGTTTTCTGTGTTTGTAAAATCGGAATCAAAGTGGTGCGCGTATGCTCGAGGAGGCGGGGTGCTGGGAGTTTCGCGGCGACGGGATCGGTCGAGATCTGGCGGTCCTGGAGGATGTTCCTATCGGAGTGAGTCAATCCGTGACTCGTCGCACAAATGGCACCAAATTCGCGTCGAAGACACTGGCAGCGAAATTACCCCGCCGAGGGGACGTCGTCGGAGCGCAAAAGGAGGACACGGCCGATAGAGGGGTCTACGGGGCACACCTCCCTGGATCATTGGTCGGTTTTAGGGGGTCTTGTGGAGGGGTTGGCGCTAGAATTCCACAGGGCTCTCAGCCCGGAGGAGCAGTTGTATCCTAGTCTTCAGTTGTCGCTTTCACACAGCATGGCAAAGACATGAGGCAGAAACCTGAGGTGAGGGAAAGCATGTGCCTTACTATACTACCCGGAAATTCCTGATATTTCAAAGTTAGCGAGATTTGAATACAGAGGATCGTAAAGAATACCGTGAATGTCAACCACCACTGTCCCAATACCCAACTGTGAAAAGTCTCAAAAGGGCAGTTGGTCTGTGTGTATCTGCTGACCAATTTGTGGTGCAGAGATACTTTGGGCTGCGGACGGCGGAAATTTTCCTTGCTGACAATACAACGACATCCTGGCGCCGCCACCTTGACGAGAACTCCATCTTCCAATTCTTCAAGAGAATATTCCTAGCGGCACATCTTTCCCAGTCTCTCTTTTTCTTTCTTTCTTTGGCAATAACTTCAAATTCCCCCCCAAAAGCGACATTGCATTTTCCCAAGATACCCCCAACCCAAGTGCTGCAGCCTTTGTACCACTCACCGGTCGTTACCACGCTCACTCACAACCGTGCCCCGGGCACCACGGTCGAAACTCACGGCCGCCATCTAGAAACCCCCACCATGACGGCCGACACACCGCCGCCGTCTCTGCCAGATCTGGACCTTGAGGATGGCACGCCCGGCTATGAGACCATCGAGGAGCGCTGCTTCTCAGCCGCCCTCATATGCCTCGAGGGCCACTACACCATTCCCCCCATGGGCCCCCAGACCGCCGCGAGGGTCTCATCCATGATCGCCAAAACCCTTGAAAAAACACATACCTTCAAGCACGTCAGGTAGGCCCGCCTCACCGCGCATGTTAGTTTCGTACTTTCTCATTTGCCTAACAAGAACCAGGGAAACCCTTTCGAGGAACGTCGAGATATGGATCTGGTTGACCAAGATCTTTGGCGCCGCCATCCCCAGCCTCACCACGCGCTCAGTAGGCCCGTTGTCAAGCCTAAATGACCCCGAGAAAGGCGTCACTCCTCAGGAGAGCACCGCTCTCATCGTGAAGAACCATCACAGCCTTAAAGATGACCTCTCTATTCTGAATAAGCTCATGCACATTGCTAGAAACTTGCTGGTAACGTCGGAACCTGAGGTGCCTCAAGACATTTGCGCCGCCGTTCACTTCGACCAGATGGTTTACCAAACCATAATCCTGTGTGTGAACGTCACCAGCAAAGGATACGATGGTGAAATCTTGGATGAGACGTCACGGGCCAAGCTGAATGAGATTACTGATATGTGTAAGTCTTCGCTGATATGTCATGCTAAGACAGTCGCTCACACTTCGTAGACAAGAAGCTCCTGGTCACGTCCCTTCAGCAAGCACACAACTGGACAGCAAAGAATGACCGCAACAAGATGTCGTTCTGGTACGACGTGCTGTTCGACGAAGATGCCCAGCTCGACGACCCCCAAGAAGGCATGGGCGACGGCTCCGGATTCCGCGTGGACATTGCTAAGACGGAAATCCAACACTGGCTGGAGCGCAACTCAAGGATGTGCGACACTGCACGGAAGCTCCTTACGGACTATTCCCAGAATAAATCTCATAAACCGCCCGGCGTCCTTGCGCCCATCGCACCCCTGGCATGGAATTGGTTCCCCGAGGGCCAGGTCAAGGTCCGCGCTGACAACTACAAGGAGGGCGAGAAGGTGAACCCCAAGTGGGACCCCGAAATCCAGGACAAGTTCGAGCAGGACCGCGCCTACTGCCGGGTATCGCGAGAAATCGACACGTGGTGGATGCGCGCGCGCGACGCAAACTACGAGGGATGGGCGGTGCCGATGCCGTCTGTCGACTTCGCCAAAACGCGGACAGAGCACTGCAAGAACAACCTCCTCAACCGCTACACGCCCGTCATGCGCACTGAGGACCACCACGAGGTCGTCGAGATTGACGAGTCGGAGCAGGACCTAGGGCCCGATGAAGGGGGCTTTGTGGCGGGGGCTGGTGCGTCGGTGGAGGAGGAGTACGCTGAGGGCTACGACGATATGATGGATGACGAAGACATTGACGACGACGAGTCTTACGGTGAGGGCCCCCTGACGGGTCTCCTGACTGAGATCCCCAACATTCTCGACCCGAAGCAGATCGAGGCCCTCCACATGATTGTCAAGTCATGTATCCTCGACTCGGCCGGCACGGGGCTCACCCGTGCGGGAGAGAACCTCCAAAAGACGCGCTGTCGCATGTTCCTCGCCCTTGACTGTGGCAAGTCCCTGCTGCGCGAGATGCTTGTCTTCATCGCCGTCTGGGAAAAGGATGAGCAGTCCCTCATCTTTCAGATCACCTCCCAGCTCATCGAGGCCCTCCACCACTCTGCTTTGGTACCTTACGCCTGGAACTCCCTCCGCATCCCCAAAGACATCATCTCGCCAGCGCAGACCGTCCTCCTACGCCTCGTCAACCACATCTTCCGGAGCCGCATCAGTAACCCTCCCCAGGACAAAAAGGACCAGGAGCGTGACGTTAAGCTCGTCATGTTTTTCTTCAGTTTCTTCCGCAGCCGCATCGTCCCCGAGTGCGTCGCCCTCATGCACCTCCAGGCCCAGATCCGCGAGGACAATGTCGACCCGGCCGAGTTCCCCGTCGACACCTGGGACATGGAGCGCGCCAAGGATGGCCTTGCACAATACCTCGATTTTCTTACCACGGCCTCCGAAATCGCCGAGTCGAGGAAGAAGCTCATCGAGTGGGAGGCCGTCTACGACCTCATCACCCTGCTCAACGGTCTCGAGGCCGGCGTTCCCAAGAAGCCCCTCGTCGACACCATCCCCAGCCGCAACCGCCCCTCGGCGCCTCCCTCGGACCAGCAATCCCAATCCTCCCAGACGACCCCGATCGTCGAACGTCCCTACTCCACGAGCGAGTCCCTCCCGCCCTCTCCTCCCCCTCCGTCGCTCTCCGACCCCGCCCACAAGTACCCCTGGTCCGGCATCAAGGGCCAAATCTTCACCATCCTCGCCACCCTCCTCCAACCGCCCCCGGGCCAATCCACGCCCGGCAACCCGGACGTGCAGACGCAGATGGTGAACCACAACGGGATTGTCCCGCTCCTCAACTGCTGCGCGTACGACGACCACAACCCCTTCGCCAAGGAGCGCGTCACAATCTGCCTGAAGTGGCTCCTCGACGGCTGCGAGGCGGCCAACAACTTCTTCCGCGAGCTCGTCAACCTAGGCGCCCCGCAGAACCTGCGCCCGCCGCCCGGCGGCACCACCGTCTCCACGATCCGCGTCGACGGAATCCAGGGCGAGGTCAAGGTGCAGGTGCGCTCCAACTCGGCGCCCGCCGGCGACGGGGAGGGGCAGGAGGGCGGCAGCGGCGGTGGTGGGAGGCAGCACATCCACGACCCGTACGGCTTGGCCGAAGATGCGGCAAAGATGAACATCAGATCCAACGCCAGTAGCGAGCCCTTTACTGACGACGACTTCATGTAAGGGCTTGTTCTCACATTGTTCGAGTTTTTGGGACAGAAGGGCAAGGGAAGGATAGCATTGGGATATGGGAAGGGAAAGACACCCACCCCGCTTTTTTTTCTCATGTTTATAGTCATGTAAACGAGCGAAATACCTTAGCATCAAGAAATACAAACAAGACCACCAAGAGTCAAAAGTCTACAGATCAAGAATACTCAAGGAGAAGGGGTGGGAAGGGAGTTTGCCAAGTTTTGTGTCCTGTGTTCCACCATAAACAAGCATCCAAACCCTCTCCACCAAGAACCAGCTCCAGCCCATCCGTCTTTGAGATACACGGCACTTAAAAGAAGGAGAAACAAAGACAAGATAGTACAGCCCCAACTCCCAACAGAAACGACGACATTTTTTGTTTATCAAATACGACAACAGGCTGGTAACAAAAAAGCAGACCTCCGGTAAGGAAAATGAAATAGACCGGTTCCACCAACCCGAGACCCCGTCTACTGCGGCCTTGACTGACGGACAACACATTCAACGCCGCCGTAGTACGGTACGCTCTCCCGACGTGCGGGCATCAGCGGCGCTGCCGAGTACACCTGCGGCCGCTGCTGCTGCTGCTGGTATTGGTAAGGGGATTGGGGCTGCTGGTGCGGGTAGCTCCCCTGACGACGGGGGTCGGGATGGAGGACGGAATAAGGCTGAGGGGGCAAGGGCTGCGAGGGCATGCCCGCCTCCGCGCTGGAGTACGCCGGGTAGAAGGAAGCACCATCGTGGAGGTCCGCGGGCGGGCTGGGCAGCGTGCTGTAGGGGCTCTGCAGTGTTCTCTGCTGGTCCCACGACGGCCGGCGCCGGCGTCGCTGCTGCTGCTGCATCTGTTGCTGGCCCTGCTGCGCTTGATGCTGTTGGGTATACTGAGGGTACGAGACGCTCTGCTGTTGCTGTCGGCCAGGCTCCAAATACGACAGATGCAGCGGCCAGTCTCTCGCATACGGCTCTCCGGCGGCTGCGCCAGCAACTTCCATCATGTCCTCGACCACGCCGCCTTCCACTGCCGACTCGGAGCTCAGGCTGCTGCCACAGCTCTGGGGGCTCATGGACTGGTCGTAGGCGTCCGGGTCCGCGGCGGCAAAGTCAGAGGCCCCGCCTCCGCCTCCGCCTCCGTTGGCACCCATATCGGGATAGTATTGCCCGGCGCTCTGGTGGTGGTGTTGATGGCCGCTGTCGTCCTGGCTCCGACGACGTGCCGTCCGTTTCTTGCAGTTGTACTTGGCCAGGCCCCATTTGTCAAACTGTTGGCGGTACGATCTGGTCCTGTATAGCGGGTTAGCAATGTGTTAGCTGGACGATCCCCTACGCCATGTTTCTCCAAAGTGTGGTGGATTCGGCATCGTATCCTTGATGAACGTCACAGAATCCAAAAAAGGGGGGCGACATCCGACGGGTACCAGTCCTTGGGGAAGGTTGGAGATCCAGAAGAGCAAGAGAATAGGGGGAGACTGACGAGGCCTTGAAGTCATGCTGCTCTTCCATGATCGCCTTGACCTCGTTCAAGGTCTTATTCTCATGGATGTAGAGCCTCGTGATGTCGGCCTGCTTCTCTCTCCACGCTTTCGTCATTGTTGAGGTTGGAGACGAGCACGACCAAGGGATTTCTGAATCATTGGAGGGGATGAGGATGAGGCTTGAGAGAGACCACGACGATGGGATGGGCCAGGGCTACATTGATGGTGATCAACGGAGTCTGACCGGGTTCAAGCAAGTTTTGTCCAGAATCAAACGGGCAACTACTTGCGAAGCCGTATATATGTCACCAAGGACAAGGCTGGGCACCGGGGCATCTGCACTGCGACCGTAGTCGGTAACGATGGGGAGTTGCCCCAGGTTTCCAGGGCTGACGAAAAGGAATCACACGGCCTGTCTTAGACGTCTCTCTGCCTCGAACACTTCTCCCGCGCACCCAAGGCTACCAAGCTATTGGGGTGCGCCAAAGGTGCAGTTCCGTCTTCGGCCAGTGCCCACTGACAAGAAGCCAACACACTCTCCGTATGATGGCGCCTCAAGTGCGGAGACCATGACGGAACAGACAAGAGTCTGCCTTCTCGAATCGGATGGGGGAACCAAAGGAGTGGTGGTGAATGACAGGAGCGTAACGGCTTCTGTAGGGGGTGCCTTGTGCAGCACACCACCCCACAGCCAGACCTTCACCGAACTTCAGCGAGGTGTGCAACCACCACTCTTCTCCACAGACGGCTTTCTTGCTCGGAAGTGCAAGACAATCGACACCGACTACTCCAAAGCTGTCCATCCGGTTGGGTTACTCTGAAAATCGAATTGGATATATCCTTGACTCCATATGCCGCCCATGCTGCACGGTAAACCACGCCAGGTGGCTTGCGTTGCATCCCGAATCAAATGCCTCGCTGGAGTAAACAAAGACATGGTGACGTTCTGCATTTATTAAATAAGGCTCCTCGCCGGGACGCGGACACCTAGGCGTGATGTATGCGAGTCTCAGCGCCGTGTCTCGAAAGGGATGAAGGTGGTGAGGCTCAGCCTTCGCCATGGGCAGCTGTTGTAATTACCAGTTCCTTTGTTAGCGGGCTCTTGTCAATTTGGGCGATTGTGAGCCGCATGGCGACGATGAGCCTGATAATGATCACTTCCAGAAACGGCAAATAAACAAGAATGGTGATTGATTAGGACTCCTATATATCATAAACATGAAATCAGAATGGTATCCTCCAAACGCGTGTGCCAAAAGAGGCCGCCGGAAAGCAAATGGGCATAAGGCTTTGGGTGTTGCTAAAAAGTGACGCAGCCAATCAAAATAGTGGTGTCGTGTTCTCGAACTCATCTGCGCCTGTCCGCCTCGCAGGCTATACAATAAGGCAACCGGAGAGGTTCGCAGCGCGTTTTGTCGCCTTAGTATTCGCCTCACTTTGATAAAAGCAGGGCGGTACACCGAGCTCTTGACGAGGTGCTAGGCCAAACCTGCAAGTGTAGGGATCTCAGAAGTTGAGGGTGTCGTGCGAATCCTTAGGCCTTCTTCTCCGGCGCCGCCGCAACAGGCGCAGCAGCGGGAGCAGCCGCAGCGCTGGAAGATGGGCCGTCAACCGGGCTCATCAACTCCGGGCTCGCGCTAGGGTCAGCGCCAGTGACTCCAGCCTCCTGTACCGAGTGGCCAGACTGAGTGGTTGCGGCAGGCGCAATCGTAGGCATCTTCTCGTCGGATCCAACAACAGGCGAGGTGGGCGTCGAAGTGGGCGCCGAAGTGGGCTCCGCAGGTCCAGTCGCTCCCGCAATGTTCTTGATAATCTCAAACCACTTCTGTGCGTCGGCAGGGGTATGGGCCTGGAAAGCCAATTCCGAGGATCCGGTGAGCTTGGAGCTAATCGACTTGCTCTTATCCTTGCCCTTGACGTTGAACTTGTTCCCGTTGGGAGCCCCGATCACGGCCTCGGGCAGATAGATGGAAAGTTCCGGCTTGGGATCAACGCGGGCGTTGTCAGAGTCCTTGAACTCATGCAAGAACTTGGCCGGAGTGACAACATAGTAGCCGGTAGAGTAGCCCCAGGAGAGCTTGTTACGCGACTTGCGCTCTAAAGAACCCTCGATGAGAGGCTTGACGGCGGAATGGTCCATGTTGGGGAAGCTGACGGACTCAACTGAACGCGGAGGGTCGTTGGGGTTGACCAAGCGGTCGCCACTGCGGGAGACGAAGCCCTTCCATTCGAGGTCGGCCGGGACTCTCTGGATCGCACCCAGCATGTCAGAGTAGAGGGCGCGAGTCTTCTCGGCCTGACCGCCGGTCAACTGGATGAATGCTTCCATTGCCTGCTGAACAACCTCGATGGTGTGGGCCTCGAAGGCCTCAAAGTTGTTCTGAACGGCAATGAGATCGTTCCTGTTGTTGTTCTCCTCCAGGACCTGCTTGTGCAGTCTGTGCAAGACACCTCGGTGGACGACATAGGGGTCATCGGTTCCGTGCATCTTGCCGCCGGCCGACTCGAAAGCAGCAGTCTGTTGGCCGAGGAGCTCAATGTGCTTCTGGGTGGTGTTGCGGGCCTTCTCAACCTCCTTGGCGCCCTTTGAGGCGCCATGTGCCAGCTCCTTGCCCTTGTGCTTGATCTCCTTGTGCAGGCGTTCGAGGACGGGGAGGACGGACCCCTTGATGCTCTTTTCCGTCTCGAGATTGGTGTTAATAATCGCCTGAGTGTTGGAGCGCATGTTCTCAAAGTAGCCTGCAATGCCGCCGAGGCTCTGGTCGAAGTGATGACCTTCCTTCAAGGGGTGGGAGATGGTCTTGAGGGCCTTCTCGTACTCCTTGGACTGGGCCTTGTGAATCTTCTCAACGGCCTCCATGTAGTCCTCCAGGTATCCGACGGCATGTTTCCAAGCTTGGAGGCGCTCTGCGAGGAGTCCGGCGGTCTGCGCGCGTTCTGTTAGCCAAAATACAAAAACAATGCTCGCAAGGGAGTTGAGGGGTTATTTTGACGAAACTCGGATCAGTCCGGACAAGTCTGAGCCTCGTCTCCTTCTGAACTGCAGGGCAATGGTACGTACGCTGGTAGGGTCAACCTCGGGGACGGCCTCATCGCTAAGGACGGAAGTGTTGGTCATGATGGTGCCCGACCTTTGGGGCAGGGTTTTAGTGTCGGCCATGGTCGTGATGTGGAGGGTCAACTGTGGAGGAGAGGAAAGTTTTTGAGTTTTGCGAATTCGAGTTGCGAGACAAACAGTATTATGGCGTCGTAAGGTGTGATTGGGAGGTTCGTCCAAGTTGCGTTCAGCTGTTGGTTCGGCTTGAAGATGGGAGAGAATGCGACGCGAAAGGGCAAGAGGTTATATTGCTGGCCCAACAAGCGGACATTTGATCTGTCCCGTCCCAACCCACGCACCCCCCGCCAGTGACAACTGGTAATTTCAACACCCGCCCAAGCTTCTGCGCCAAAAGAGAGACGAATGACGTTCTCCACCAGCGCCAGCAGCCAAATTGCGGCACTAGCGCCTGGCTCTTGCACAGAGATTTGGCTTGCACGACCCCGAAAGGTGGGGCCAGGTTGGAAACCCCCTGTGACGATCTCGACTGTCTAAGGGACAAGAGGCACAAGAGGGGGGACGCATCCGAGCTTTTTTGCTCCTGCCGACAGCTGAACGACTCGGGGCCGCTCTCTACTGAGATACTCACCCATCAACTCTCGGCCCTAGTTGGCTAAATCCCCTCAGCTGGGCATGGCCCTCACCACTGTTTCTCAACCGTGGCATCATAGGCCGGCTGCGCAGTATTGCGCTAAGAAAGGAGGGCCAGCAAGCATTTTTGGGGGGGATATGACGTCAGGACTCAAGTGAACGGTCCCTTGGTTTTCCAACGCACGATGGCGCTAGGGGAGATGAGACGATCCCCATTTGTTTGACCATCGACGACGTTAGTCGTTATACCACTTCGGGCGTATCCTGGCTAACACAATAGTTACATCAACAACATTCCAATGCCACACGGTCACAGGCATCTCCTTTTTCGCTTAAACAAGCTTTCCCGCCATCAAGCAACGTTGCTGCCGAAGGTGACGACGGCTGCAATGACAGCACAACAGGGTTGCGGCCTTGATTCTGACAGAATGGGATTGGGTGGTTGCCAACGCCGGACATTCGTACCGATTGGTCTTGTGCTCGTGGTGTTCTAAACCCAGTACGAAAATTTCCAAGCGACGACAGCAGCGGGTTCGAGAGTAGTCGGCGATCGCTTTGACTGTTGACGACAATGACTGTGTTGTTCGCATTATGGCACTGCAATCGCAGACCACAGCGCTGCAGATTTCCCCTCGAGCGCGGAAGACGGTGCTTTTCCTGTCAGACGACGCCCACATGTGCTGACAACAATCCGAGTTTCCGATGTGGCATGCTTCGCCCTTGGGTTGTCTTCTGTAATCGATTGGGTGCTTAGGCGCAATGTGACTCTACAATGCACAAGCTTCGGAACCTTGACGATATCCTGTTTTTCCTTCATCAGCCCGCGCCCCTCCTCCATAACCCTATACGTAAGGAAGCCACGATGAGTCCAACGGCGGCGAAGGGAATGGAAGAAACCTCAAATGGGCTCAAAGGCGAACTTCATTTACCTCACACAGGTACACTTTGGAGTGAAGCCTAGCCACAGTAGGAAGCAATGGTGAGAAAGCTATACGAAACCGAGGGACACGAGCTGTTTCGCCCCCTGCTCATAAGATGAAAAGACATTGAAACCTTGCTTGATAATATCACGAGATGGTACAAAAGAGCCCAACGCCAGGGTATAGTTCGGGCGTTGCGGCGGGCGAATCCATTGTAGTGTTGACCAGACACGACTTGGCGCAATGTCCCATCCGCAACGCAGGCCTTCCTCGGCCAGACCGACCTGCCTCGTCTGCACGACTCCGAAATACAATTGCCAAAGGGCGCCCCGAAAACGAACCCGTGATCCCGCGGGGTCACGGGTTAGGCCATCGCTCACGCAGTACCTATCGGGGACTTCCGACATCGGCCGGCGACAGTGATCTCGACGCCGCAACGGTGGAGCGGGTACCATAAACCCCGTGGTACGCCGCCAACCCCTCGGCATTGCGGGCGGGGATTCCTTATCCGAGTTGTGTTAGGGAGTTGTCGTCGGAGGAAGACTTGGCCGTGATTGAATCAATAATGAACAGCTTCCTTAGAGCCCCTGCCTGGAGATGAGGATTAGCCATTCGAATGAGATGGCAAATGAACAGGCACGCTGACGAAGAACAGAAAGCCAAGAGAATAATGTAAATCGAGTATTAACCCTTTTTTGTCATCTAAGTATCTCGCATGCGACATGCCGCGCTCTGAGCGGCGGGTATATCGTGTAACTGTCAATGCCTTCCCAATATCGCCCCCCCAGTAATAGATCCCTGTGTAGTGTTTATCAAACCGTGTACTTGTGTCCGAGCAGCCTAACGAGTCCTGATGCCTCCAAGGCGCATGTCTATAACCTGTAAAATCTCAAAAAGCCCCGCCCTCGTTGGTTTTCCTTTCAAACCATCCAACGCCAATGCCATGCCCGAAGTAGTGCTTGCCACCTTCTGTAGTCGTATTGTAATCAAATGAGTAGGGAAATGTTCTCGTGCCAGTGACGCTCAATACACCCTCTCCCGTCCTTGGATAAGGTGGAGCCGACGGTCATCGTTGCCTTGTACTGCCTGAAGCAAGTTGCTCATACTCGCGGGGCGATGCCATGAGCGGCGCGAGCCGCCTGGTGTGGTGGGGTCGTTGCCGGCGCCCTCTTGAGACTCGGGGATCATGCCAAGGGGGTCCGCAATAGGAACATCGGTAGCAGGTGGTGTATTTGGAGCGCTCATCGCCGAGAAGTAGTCCGGGAGCGCGTCGCTGCTGCCTGCACCCCGCCGGAGAGGGGTCTTGACAGCCGTGGTGTAACTGGGCACCTTGCTCAACGTAGCCATATCAGAGAAGTCGAGGTGTTCCGGCGAAGCGCGGCCGGATGAGTGCGGGTTGGGATGATCTTCAGCGCTGTTCTGGCGCGTCAGTGCAGTGGAGTGCGACTGCGAACTTGCCCCCGTAGGCATGGACGTCGGAAACGCCACGTCCTCCGTGATTGCGTTCAGCGAGTTAAAAGAAGTGTTGCGATGCGTGGGGTCTAGCGAAACATTTTGCAGACGCGAAGAGAGAGCCGCAGGGGCGACGCCATGGCCGTTCATCATGGCGAGGGAAGCAAGGTTCTCAGACGAGCCAGCGCGCGACTGGGCGTAGAAGGGACTGCTGAAGCCAGACTGCATGCCTGGAGTCTGCATACCCGGAGTCATGATGCCCGGAGTCTGGAAACCGCTCATATCGACGTCTTCGTAGAGCTGGTCGAGAACGTGCTCGCCGTAGCCGGGCGGCGCGATTCTGGTGACCTCGGCCTGGGCCGGCGCACCGGGGGCCTGGTCAACGAGAACACCATGTTCGTCGAGGGGCATGTTGGGAGAAATAAAGATGGAGACGGGGAGAGTGGCGCGCAGCTAGATCCTGTTAGATTGATTCGACAGTCATGGAAAAACGGCGTCCAGTTACTTACCTCTGAAATATGACCGTCCGGATTCTTCAGGGCAACAACGAGCTTGAGTTTGTGGCGGACCTTGATGCCATTATGGTTCAGGTCTTGAACACACTGTCTCAGTCGCTTGGGCAGGTTTAACTTTTTCTCCACCATCCATCCTTCCTGTCCAGTGTCTTCGATTGTATCGTGCCAATGCTCCTCTCGGTCGACGTCGAACTTCCAGTTGGAAACTTCTCTTTCGGTCCTGTGCTCCTTGAAAACGTTGCCCGTGGGGCCTTGTAATGTGCATTCGCGGATTTCGAGCATCTTGACGGAGATCTCTCCCATCTCGAGACCCTTCAAGAGGGGTGTGAATCGCATCTGGAGAGGAACGGTGGCTCCGAAGACCACGGCCTTTTGCGGGATGATGATGGAGTAATCAACCTTGTTCGGCCAGATGTTCTCGACGCTCATGGCGTGCAGAAATTCGAGTGCAGCGGGTTCGAGGGTACGGATGATACGCAGCGCCTTGTAGGCGTGCAGATCGTAGGCGAGCTTGCCGCGGGCGACGGTGGCCTTGAGCTTGTAGGTGATGCTCGCTTCGGGGATGCCTTCGACGCTCTCGGGGGTGTTGCCCGGCAGGGTGTACTCAAAAGGCCACTCATAATTGCCGGCTGGTAAGACAGTGTTCTTGCCACCAGTGCCGCCGACGAAGGGAGCCCAGCGATGTTGGAGCAGGATGGTGGTCTTGTCGACTTTTTGGGTAGAGACGCCAGACGCGACGGTTTTGTAGGATTCCCACCTATTTACGGCGCAAGTCAGCTGGCGGATGCGCAGAGAGAACCGGGAACAAGGAGGGGCTCATACGATAATCGGTGGGTGCCAGTCAAACGGAGGTGGACGTCTTCGATCTTCAGCGGCGTGGGCAAACACAGGACCACGACGCCCTTGAGGACCTGACCGGCAGATTCGTCCTCTCCTCCGCGGAATACAATGAAGTCATTGTCTAGCCTGTGGAATGTCCAACGTCAGCAAACGGCACACAAAAGAAAGAGAGCGACACCGAGTGAGACAGGAGAGTCAAACAAGTCCAACGACAAGCAGGAAACGATTGAATCTGGCGACGTGGGGCAAGGGCGCATACCTGATCTCAAAGAGCGAAGCGGCATGCTTGCCCGTGACAGTGGAAAATGGGTTGAATGACGGCATCTTCAGAAGTTGGAGATGACATGAACCAAGCGGTATGCCTGGTCGGAAGAAAACAGCCTAAACATATGGGAAAGGGAGGTCTGGAGACAGGCTTGTATTTATCGACGGAGCGTCCTTCCTGGGTACGAGGTACATCGATCTGACCAGAGGTGGGCAATCAAGCAAGCGCAAGCAAAAAGCTCGCGCATTTACCCTCACAAACGGGCAGCCCACCCTCGTCTGAAAGTCCAAAGCGTGGGAAGTGAAAGCCCACGCCCACACCCTCGCCCACCACGACGAAGGCCACGCCCCTCGGCGGGTTCGCTCCTGGTGGGATTGGTGGGGCATCCATGGCCATGGCCCGAGAGAAAAGATTGGGCGAGGTGTGTGTGAAGAGGTTCCTTGTTCAGGGTCCCCTTGAACCTTGAACGGAGAAAGGATAAGGATAAAATGGGATCAGAGGAAAGGAAAGGGGAGCCCAGGCGCAGTCGAGGACCGGGTACGTACTGGATCCGTCGTTGTAGATTGTGGTTTGGGATGGTGAGGGTCAGCCAGCGAGCGGCAGCCACCGGGCCCATTGGCACGATTGGCAAGGAAGACGGCCCAAAACGGAGCCGGGAGGGCCATGGCGAGCAAAGAAACGAGGTGCAGAGGTGCAGAGGTGCAGGGCAGGGTCGATGCGCTAGATGCAAGGCGAGAATGAGGTAAGGTACGGGTGGTACGTGCGTCCTGCCGTGCTGCCCTGCCGCAGAACTTGTACCCGCACCCTGGGAATAGGGAGAAAAGGTACGGGAAGAGAATCCCGACTCTACACCGACCGATTGGCTTGACTGACGGGCCTGTGACTGTCAGATGAAAGCTGAGGCAGAACACGCACGCACTAAGCAAACACGCAGATAACAGAAAGAGAGGCTTAGGCCTTTGCGAGGAGGGCGGGTGTGTATCTGACCTATGCCCTGTGCAAAAATGCATTTGGTGAGCCGCCTGTGTGTGGTGTAGGCGGGAACCAAGACATGGGTTCGGTCCTGACGCTGATGGATGGAAAGTGGGATGAATTTCTCTCTTTTTGCCTCAGGACTACTGTCTCGCGCGTACAGATAGGTGCTGTACCGCACACCACCTGAGTTCTACACTCGGGAGGGGGGGGTGGGTGAATCATGGTCAGTCTCTCGGTCAAACCAGACATCTGAACAAAAGTCATGACGAGCGTACGCGACATCCATTTGTTCGCAATGTTTCCGTGCCTCGAGTTGGCGTGACCCTTGCCAAGCTAAAACTCGTTGTGTAACTGTAGCGATTGTGAACTGATAGCGCACTTCCACGTGAGATTGGGCGTCGCGGCTGGCTAATGCTGATGCTGATGCTGAGTCTGAGTCTGACTCTAAGCCGGAGCTTGCTGGCTGACACTCCGTTTCTCTCAGCACCACCAGTTTGCTTTCCCTCGCTCCTGTCCGACGAGACTGTTTGCTTGGGCCTTGGCTCGGTTAAAGAAACCTGCCCAACTTAGGGTGGTGGATTGTCTGGCCGGCTTGGCGGATTTCCTGGGTAACGCAGGCCGTGATGCAGAACTTCTGCTTTCGTAAGACTAGCAACTTATATTGTCATTATCGTGTCAACGGACCATCGCCAGGTTGCAACAATCTGCCTTTTTCCATAGCTCAGCTGGGGGCTTCCTGTGGGCTGCGCGGGTGGTCATCAGACATATGTGTGCTTGATAAAACAAGAAGGAAAAAACCCATCCAGACCACGGCATGCGATGTGGTAGAGACCCAGATCGATGGTAGGGAGAGCAGTGCTACGATGGTAGCAAGCAACGATGGAGGGGGGGCAGAAAAGCAACCAGAATCGAAACACATGGTTCGAGCGCCTGCACTTGCACATTGTTGCTCAGACTGCGCCCAGTCGCCCAAAAGAGACGAGAGAGGCAGCCCTGCGATACGGCCTGCATGGCATGCACCTTATTCGCGCGCAACATCTGCACGCAACGCTGGCACATGCGGTACGTGGTAATTAAGGTGTTCGCGATGTCTTGAAGGTACAGCAGCATCTGCCCATTCTTCAGACCGTCGTCGTAAGTGCCAGAGGAAAAGAGGTAGGATGCCCGAAGCGTTGCGCTTCAATACAGCAATTGCGACGGGCGCCCACCATGATGGTGCCTTTGCGAAGCGATTCATGGCAGCGCCGAGCCGGAAAGCTGCGTGTCGGTTTACCCTCGTCACCGCAGACTACCGGAGTCAGCAATGCCGAGCAGAAAACTTGAGATTCGACAGCGAAAGTCAAACAGAATTAAAAAAAAAAAAAAATACCTTGGTACAAGCAAGAAGACACCCACAGACGGTGTTGCCGTCGCCCGCCGTTCGTCTGACGGATAGGGCGACGGATGACCGAAAGCCCCCCGACGCCACTGATTGGCCCCTGCATGAGTCGTGCGATGGGATGGAAGCCCGATAGAAGCTGTGGGTCCCTGCCTCTTCCCTGCCGCCGTCGCCCAGTGGTGGTTGCGTGTACGCCTGCCCTTCCAAGTCGTTGTTGCTGCGCCGTCCGCCGCCGCCACACCTTCCTTTCCCTTTCCTTCCAATTCTGCCCTGCAAGAGTGACGGTGCCCGGTGCGAATCTGGAAATGACCGCCATCGAACTGGCAATGAATGACACGCCCGTCCTTGGGGAAAAAAAGATGGAAAAATGGCAGAGGCAACACCGGCCCAGTGGGTCCTCGTGTGGGATGAGCGTGGTTGCCCACCACTCCTGCCCCTGCCTGCCTGCCCTGGAATCCATGGTCCGCTGCGATTGAAGCGGTCTTTTTTCCGTTCATTAATACGGAACACGGGACACTGCGTAGTCGTAGTAGTAGTTGTCTCCTCGACTGTCTCTCTGCCAGAATATGCCTCGCAGCTTGCTGCCCGGTACCTGTCTCTTGTTGGTCCGCGCCCAATATCTCACATCGACGACCGTCTACGGCCAATGCAGCTAAAACCCAGCCTAGGCTAGCAACCATACGCCAACAGACCGCCTCGAAAACGCCGTCGTCACCAAACATGGCTTTGGTATGCACCTCACAAAGCTATACGCATCGCAGGGGTAAAACTGGGCGCACTGAACTATCCTCTTGCGACACGGGGGTCATGATTTGTCCTGCTGCCAGTCTCGCCCAAAGCAATCGCCTGCGTCTCCAACACGCCACGCCTCTCCTCCCCTTGAACGGGCAAGATTGGCGAACCCCCACAGCCGCCATCGACGATGGCCATGGCAAGGCCACGCTGCTTAACGTCGGTGCCTCCAGACATGATCACATCCCAGACGCAGCGGGCAGTCATGGGCTTCATCGATCATGAGACTTTCAGAAGACCATCGCGGGGTAAGATGCTGCCCACATCTGAGCGATAGCAGCTAAGCTTGGCTCACGGTCCGCCGTTGCTTGTTTCAAGCGGCATGTGCAACATCCAGACCTGCAGATGTATAAGACAGGCTGAATGCAATAGCCGTGGCGTCTCCACAACCCCCGCGCACCTGATGGCCAGAATCTCACGATGTGGTCAAACGGAAACAGAGATGCTTGCGGCATCCCACGGCCACTGTTACACGGGGAATCCGGCGGCTCATCGCCGCACATCTCGCTCTTCTCCGACCCTGCGCCTCGACAGGCTTGTGAGTCTCGTCTCTCACCATGTAGTGAACGAGCGACCGTTTCGGTCGGGGGTGTGACCCCTCCGTATTGGCAGCTGCAGGTCGGCGGGAATTCGATGCATGTTAGTTTACCCAGCTTCTCTGGCAGGCCCGTTTCCACGGGTTGGTGTGCCGCATGCAGCATTCTCAGCAGACAAAGGCATTCCAGACCGTACGCCTAGCCGGCCTGCTGGTCTGGGCAATGCTTTTTCTTTTCCTTTCCTTTTTTACGGATCCAGCATCCATTGAAATCCACTGAGCCGACAGTGTTCTTCACCCCCTGCCCAGGATCCAGTGGGATCGTCGCTAGGAGAGAGACGGAAACACTTTGGCAGCTGGACCCGGCCCTGGACCGAGCCCTGCCATAGGAGCATCCTTCTGGACTCCTGAGGGTTCGGTAACATCTCCACCGATAAGCACCAGGCCTTGGTTGGTTTGGGGCCAGCATTGCTCCGGTTTTCGTTCCAGCTCGAAGCGAAGGGTGACCTCCCTAAGACTTCCGAATCCTAGCACCGATGGTCCTGCTTTTGGGCTGCCGGCCTATCAACTTACAATGCCGCGGTTGCAGCGCTTCCGCCCATACTTGGTGCTGCATAAGAAAACATATCAAGCTGAGCCCGAAATGAATCCATGACCATACGATTCGACGGCCAACACCATTCACACTGCAACTCTTCTCCATTTTCGAGGGCTTTCGACCCCTCCACCAAGAACCAACAGGAGACAGGGAACAATGGACCTCTCACCGACACAAGTGTGTGGGTTCTTCGCTGAAATTTTGGCGATGGCGCCTTCAACCCTGCTTTTCCCTCCGATTGCAACTTTTCTCCCCTTTTCGGTGGCTGGCAACCAATAAGCGCCGCGCTAGGAAGAATGACTCCGAGATAACGAAAAGTGCACTAAACCACCAACACCACCGTGCAGCGGTCCGAAGCCGCACCGAACCCGGACCTACGCCGACTAGAGTTCTTCAGGATACGGACGTGAGTTTCGGCTTTTGCCAACGGCGGCTCGTCTCACAATCGCTCAGCGCCCGTCGAGTACTGCGGTTTAAGTGCTCTTGATCAGACTTCCCTGTATGCCGAGAATCAAGCCGGGATTGTGTCATCAACAATCCTCAACCTTGGGCTCGAACAGCCTCTTTTCGAACTAATGAACTACAGCCGCCCGCCGTCGTAGGCGAGCTTTCTTGGCCCCTGGCTATTATCGCCATTGCATCCACGGAAGGCCAGGTTGTCCCAAGTTGGCCACGTATGTACGCACCGCTTGCCCCTTCGCCGTCTCCTTTGCAGCCACAGAAAGTTTGAATAGTTGCTTTATACAATGTCTTTGATATCCAAGCATCCCAGTCGAATAGCCCGCACAAGCTGCGTTGAGGGCGGATAACCAGCAGAAGCGAGCTCAATCCCTTACCCACCAAGGCTCCGCCTGCAGAGGGTGGTCGTCCCGTCGAACTAAGTGGCGCTACACTAGGTACAAGAAGGGCCGCAACTTGCAAGGGGGCCAGCGTGCAAGATCCCATGGAGCTACCAAGGCTACAACGAACAAAGTTCGCTGTGAGCACAGAGTTGGCGTCCCAACGGCCCAGCTCGCCGACTGCCGCAGATGGCATTCGCGGCCACTGGGCCCCACCCAATCGACCCAGGGCGTGTGCAAAGACACTATGTAGCATCATGCCTGGTCGCAGACCTGATGTCAGATCACCCAAGAGACCCACTGATATCAACATGACATCTCTCTTTTTCGTCTTCTTTTTTGTGTGCGCATGCGTTTGATCCCTACTCGGTCGTCTCGCCTGAGCTGATCTGTCTCGTCCCAGCGCACATCATGGCCTGAGCATCGTCCACTGCTCGTACTATACCTGTCGGCAAGGGGAATCGACTGAGGACCGTCGGAACCGAGCGGGCTACGTGTTGAGCCGCAGCGATTCTGTAGTGTGGCCCGCATCTCAAGCATAGTTTACATTTGTATTGCAGCAATGTGCGAAAAGCTCGCTGGTAATGGTCGGAATGCCCAAACAGGCCCATCGTTTCAACGATATTGAAGCTCGATGGTCCATCTCGGGCACCAAGCTAGATTGAGTCACGAAGCTTGGCCCCATCTCGAAATCTCGCCAACTACCGCTTACCCATCTCCACTCGCGCCGAAATCTCTCACCTTCGGCCCTTTGCAGCGGTGAAAAAGAAGGGGCCGCGCCGCACGTCTCACATTTTCGAGGCGTCCTGAACGTGAACCTTGATACCACACCCTTTGCTTTGGCCCGATTCTAACCTCTAGGACGCTTGCTTTGGACCACGGCTGTGGAGCCCTCCCTTCAGCCTTGCCTCCTGGCTCCCGACCTCTTAAACTTCCCTGGCGGGCACACACGCACACAAACCGCTCAAAGTGGGCCGTCTACCCGTTATCTACACTACAAACGAAGGATACACTAACACCTGGTTACCGAGAGGGGCTTCATAAGGTGTATCGAACTCGCCGGGATAGAAAAATTTCAAATGGGCTCTGCATCCATACACGTGGATCTCCCGATACGCCTGCATGCACCTCAGATACTAGATTAATACCTACATAGTACTACCCAAGGCATGTAGAAGTGCGCTGCGGCGGTACCACTGCGCCATGCATCCTTTGCGGCTGCATTGATTAAAAAGCCTCACAAACTATCGTCCAACGACTCATAGCATCTTCCACCAGTTTCGTTATCACGGCGTGCCGCATGCTGCGTGTTGAACTCGAGGCCGCCGCCGCCAACAACGAGAACGACATGTGAAAAAGGCTCCGCCCACTGGCGGCAACGACAGCAACGACGTGTTTTTCCGTGACTGCGACACCCTTTCCTAAGCTTCCCAGCAAAGCTGTCGCATATCAAATCAAAGGTGGGTACTCTATACGCCGGGAATTTGCTTTCCCTGCTTTTCCTGAGCAGGGGGAAAGGGGAAAAAAGTCAACGATCCATGGGCCATATGGAAGAGGCCGTTCGATTTCCACCCTCTTGAGTTATGGATCGCGTTCCAGAATCCTGCGGTATCTATCTCCTCGGTCAAAGCAGCTACGACCGTCCAACTTCCCATCCCGACTTCTTTTCGTCGACGTGGATCGGGAAGCCCATCGGCCGGGTTTCCACCCATTCCATCCCGCCACCCCTGCCAGCGGTTGGCAAGCTTGGTTTCCTTTCCAGCCCACCACGACCACCAACGGCATACACACACCCGGTTTGTTCCCATTGACATGGGCTCGCAAGCACAGCAGGCGGCGAAGCGACGAGCCGGCTGGTGGAACCCCCACGCACCGTGCATGCCTACGCCGAATAGGCGTAACCACCAGATGGACGACGACGTTGGATGCAGGTTGCAATCCTAAGTGACAGAGCCCCCCTAACTGGAACACTGGGCCACATGCAGAGGTCAGAGGCGCTGCGGTTGCAGGCTTCGGAGCCCACCGCGGAGCCGCATTTCGATTTTCTGCCAGCCGATGCAGACTGACGTCTCCAATTTTCAAAACGTCCTCGAGGGGGTGGGAAGCTCTGACATCTTTGGTCCTCAAATCACATGCCGATCGCACGTCATCATCACCTTGTTCCTCGTGAGAGAAGCGCGCATCAAGGGTTTACTGCGGCGAAACCCGTTTCTGTACATTCAGGGATTATATGGCACCAGGTGGAACCGGAGCGAAGTTAAAAAATGACTTTTTTCGACATCTTCAAGAAGATGATGGAGGCGCAGTGCAATGCTGGCTGTCTGGCTACGTCTACACCCAAGTTCCAATATCTGCAGCGAAACGAAAATCACCGGAGGACTATAATGGTTGAGATGCACCCTCCGTCGGCACCGGGGCGTCAGTCGGCCTATTCCACGTCCGAATATGACCTTTGCCGGTGCATGTTAGCATGGTGACACCTTCCTGTCGGCGCAAGGTCTACGTACCGTTCTTGCAGCTCGTGATGATGGCCTCTTCTGTAAATTCAAGCCAGCATAATGGGTGGGTATCAACTGCTTTGGACTATGTCGCCAACGTCAGCAACCAAACTCTCTTGTCTCTTGTCGATGGGGAGGGCGGAGCGCAGCCTACGGAAACAGGGGGCAGCATGGCGATTCTCGCGCGAGGTTCCACGGGATGGACGACGCTGCCTTCTTCGTCCACGACGCCTCCGGACACTGTAGAGTTGGACCGGATCCGGCTCGCCAAAGTGTTCGCTGTTTCTTGTCTTTGCAAGGGGTTGGCGAACCGTGATGATACGGAGCCCCGATGATGGACGGAAGCCTATCTCGACAGTTAGCGTTTCCTGCACGCCTATGCTATTCGACGCCTGACTCGAGCCGGTAACGTACCGCCTTGGGGCGATGCAGCATGCCGACGTTGAAATCCCATAAGCACAACCTGCAGTCCTCGCCAACACTGCCGAATCGGTAGTTTCTGTCGTCGCAGCGCCACGGGTCGAACGCTACCGATGTCACCCAGGACTGATGGCCTTGACAGCGCGCTACGATGGCCGAGTCCACGACGGACCAGATGGAGATCAAGTCATCTTGACCTCCCGTCAGCACGTACTTGCCATCCGGCGACCACGTAACGCAGATGAAGCCGCCGTAGTATGAGTGGTAAAGGTCAAGGAGCCTGTCAT